AGGGAGGTGAGCAGGATGCCCCGGGCCTGGGAGGGCTGGGGTGAGGGCAGGGCAGGGCCGAGGGCAGGGGCTGGGGCAGGGGTGAGGGCAGGGGCAAGGGCAGGGGCAGGGGCAGGGGCAGGGGTGAGGGCAGGGGCAAGGGCAGGGCAGAGGCAGGGGTGAGGGCAGGGCAGACGCAGGGGTGAGGGCAGGGCAAGGGCGAGGGCAGGGCAGAGGTGAGGACAGGGCAGAGGCAGGGGCGAGGGCAGGGGCAGGGAGGAGGGCAGGGCAGAGGCCGGGGTGAGGGCAGGGCAGGGGCGAGGGCGAAGGCGGGCAGGGGTGAGGGCAGGGCAGGTGCCAGCAGAGCCTACACCATCTCATACTCCAAACGCCCGACCTGTGCCTGGAGTTGAGCCTGCAAGGGGCCTCCAGTGAGGCAGTCGTGGCAAGGAGGGTCCTGCTGCCATCCAGACTTTGTCACCCTCAGCCCCAGCAGCAGGACTGGGACAGCCACCACCCACCTGAGCGGCAGGAGGTGTCAAAGCCACAGCAGCAGAGCTGTCGTGAGGCCAGGGCTACCGGGAGGAGAGAAGAGCAGGGCGTGTGGCAAAGGGCCTGGGCAAGCGAACAACCTAGGTGGCCCGGGACAGAGCTGGGACATGGCGAATGTGAATGGTGGGGTCCCCACAGCACCCCGACAGGGGTCCATAGCGGGTGCCTGGCCATGCAGTCAGGGAAGTCATGTCTTACGAGATGGTCAGGGCAGGACAAGGCCTGAGGCTGGGTCAGGGCTGCTGGCTGGCTGCCCTGGTGCCACCTCAGGGAGGGGACAGCAGCCTCTTGGGGCCTCTATTCCTTGCACAGTGGGGATGGAGCCCCCCATCCTTTTCTGAGCCCATCTGTGGGGCCCCTAGTCCCCTTGCTGGTGACCATCGGAGGCGGGATACTGGGTCAGTGCTCGCCCCAGGCTGCTCCAGGCGTCCTGCAGGAAACACCCTCTCAAGGCAGCCGGGCAGGCAGCCGGGCAGGCAGCTGGGGCAGCAACCGGGGCCCGCTCCCCAGAGGCGGCCAGCCCTGCCCGGGCCCTTGGCCAGGAAGCTGAGGCACCTTCCTGGGGCAGCCAGGGCACGAGGGGCACCTGCGCCCCAGGGTCACTGTGCTGGCCACTGCCTTTAGGTGTCCAAGACCCCACCCCGCCCGCCGAGCCCCCTGGCTGGTGTCCCTCTTGAGGTCACCCCTTCCCGGGCGGGTCCCAGAAGCAGATCCCGTGAGGGCTGAGCTACCGGCACGGGCCGGGCTGGGGAGTCCGCACGCAGGACAGCGGTGGGGCTGGGCCGAGAGTGGAACTGCGGAGACACGAGGGTGGCCCACATCTGTACAGGACCCAAGCCTTGGCCAGGAAGCCACCGTGTTGCCAGGGACAAGCTGGGAATGGGGGAGAGGCGGGGCGCTGTCAGCTCAGCAGAGGGTCCCGGGCATAGCAGAGCCCAGAGCACCCCACATCCAGGGAGCTGGGCCTCGCAGGCTGCCCCGCCCCCCATGGACACTGCTTCCTGTGAGCACAACCCGGGGGTTGGACGGCGAGTCGGAGGCTCCCTGCCCCAAGGGCCACTGGCCACACTCAGTGCATTGGAGAGTTGCTCCCACTTGCCTCGGCTGGCGCTGAGAGCCAGGGTTCCCACGCCCAAGGCCTCAGGTGCTGTCCCTAGATCTGAGTCACCCGCAGCTGGCCAGCGGGGCTCACTGGGCGGGGGTCTGCCAGGAGTGTTGGGCCTACGGGGGGGTGGTGGTGCAAGAGCGAACTGGCCCAGCCCCTGGGCACTCCCCCATACTTCTGTGTTCCCAGGCCCGGGGGGGGGGGAGGGGGGAGCCCCGCCCCTCCTTCTGGGGAGAACTGTCCCCCACAGTCCCATTGGCTGGCAGCAGGCGCCATGTATGCCGGGGAGAAAGGAAGGACCAAGACGGGGAGCCCCTGCTCTGGAGGCGGGGTGCCGCACGGCTGCATGCAGTTCCCTGAGCCCCCTTTCCTCTGAGCTCCCTGCAGTCTGCTCTAACCATTGGGCAGTCTGCCTGCCTCGCTGTTCTCAGCAGGAGACGGCCTTCAGGGGCCGGTGCAGGTGACTCTCGACGCCACCTGGCTCTGGGACGGAGGCCAACTCCACCGTGACACGGTGCAGTCAGGGCTCTGTGAGGGCACAGCCCTGCATGCGGCCAACCTGGGTTCAAACCTCGGCACCTGACACGGCCCTGAGCCCTGCCAGGAGTGATCCTTGAGCACTGCGGGGTGTGGGCCAACAGAACCTTGAAAGACCCTGCCTCGCCAGAGGGAACAGAACGAGAGGGTGGGGTGGACACAGAGCTTCAGGGACATTCCAGGGGCCTCCCACCAGGAGCAGAGGAAACTGGGTTAACAGAGGTCACTGATGTGACCGGGTGCTGGGAAAGGCGGGGTGCAGGCGGGGCTCACCCGGGGGATGAAGCTTCAGGTCTAGCCGCTGCCCTGCTCGGGGATCTGTGCTTCCTGTGGGGAGGGGGGGGGGGTGGGACATGCAGGGGCGGGTCTGTGCAAGGTGGCTCTGGCCAGGCCACATAGTGCCCTCTAGACAAGGACGGTCTGATGGCCCCGGCAGCTGCCTGTCACGGGCTGGTCTCCTCTGAGCGGTGCCTAGTGGATGCAGGCCTGGAATGTTCCAGAAGGACTTGAGAAAGAGGAAGCATGTGCTGAGCGGGACGTGGGTGGTTTCTGCTGGCGGAGGCGCAACTGTGCCCGCCTGGGAGTGGGGAGCTGGCGATGGCCCTGTCTTGGCCCTGAGCCCTGGTGACTAATTGCAGGACAAACAGGAAGAGCTGGTGACACCAGGCGCCGGGCGGTCCCCCCCGCATGGCCTTTCCTTCAGCCCTGCTGCCCGGGGGTCTCCAGGAATGGCTCGGCCCTGCGGGTTCCTTCAATGCAGGGTCTGAGGGCCGGATCATGGGTCTCAGGTCCTGGTCACAAGGGGCAGTCCAGGCATCTGCCTGGTGCCGTTTCCTGGGCTCTAGAGCCAGGGATCCCTCAGTGGCCTCCGAAAAGCAGGGGGTTAGCTGGTCCGACAGGACCCAGTGACAACTCAAAGGGCCCCTTCTGGGGGCTTGTCACCAGGCCCAGTCCTGTCCAATACAGCACCGAGCCCGGGGGGTGGGGGGGGCGTGCGGCCCAGGGTTGTGCCGGGAGGGGCTGGCACACGCTGCCATGGACATACAGACACACAGGGCACACAGAAGCACATGCGGGGACACACAGGAACACACACAGGTCTATCTGGACTGGCCCAGGGAATCACCACCATGTAGGTACAGCAGAAAGTGTTGAGGGGTGAGGAGGGCCAGAACCCAGGCTGGAGGGGCACGGCATGAGTGTCATGGGTGGCCCAGGGGCCCCTTCTCCGCTCACCCCAAGCCGCTGCAGCCAGCTGCTCTGCCTGGCAAAGGTGGGACTCAGACTCTCGAACAGGCAGAGAGGAAAGTGCTGAAGGCTGAGCGCATGGGGAGGGAGGAGGGGGGAAAGGAAGGAGAGGGAAGGGGGGAGGGGGAGGGGAAGGAAAAGGAGGGGGAGGAAGGGGGAGGGGAGGGAGGGAATGGAATGGGAAAAACAGAGAAAGGAGTACAGGGAAGAGAGGGGAGAGAGATAGGGAGCACCCCAGGAAGCATCTAGACCTAGAGTGGGCGTGAGGCCAGCGAGGGAGGGATGGCCCGGACTCAGGACCACGGGTGCGGGTGGCGCTGAGCCGGGAACCGTCCCCACAGCAGGGCACCTATGTCCGCCCTCCCAGCATGACCCCCCGGGGTTGAGGCCAGGACTGGGGAGCAGGTGACAGAAGAGGCAGGTGCCACCCACAGGCAGAGGGCGCTGGCGTGGATGCCCGGGTCCGGTTACAGGCTGACGTCAGTGCAGGGGCTCTCCAAGGTGACGGACGTCAAGTCAAGTCAGAGCACGTCCCTGTGCCTGGCACTGAGCTCGGCCAGAGGAACTTGGCTGCGCCATCCAGGCCCAAGCAGGCCCTGGGCAGGCAGAGCTGGGGGCAGCTGCAGGGCTGTGACAGCACCTGCGGCTCATCTGCAGCGACGAACACAGAGCCCAGGGTCACTCTGCCACGGCACCTGGACAACGGGGCCACAGCTCAGCGCCCAGCCCAGAGGAACTGTACTGCGGCCACCAGGTTCAACTTGGCATTCCTGCCCATGCACCCTGCTCCCAGGGTGCACTGAGGTCCCCCACCATGGGGTCAGGCCTCCCTCTGAGCCCCCCACAGGGTAGGCCTCCACCTGAGCCCCCACAGAGCCAGGCCCCCACCCAAGCCGTCCACGGGTTCAGGCCCCCACCCGAGGCCCCCACAGGGTCAGGCCCCCACCCGAGCCCCCCACGGGTCAGGCCTCCACCAGGCCCTGGCAGAGTGCAGTGACTGGGTCACAGATTCCCAGGGGTCCCCATCACCTCTGACGCCATGACCTGGGCGAGACCAGCACCTGCTCCTCTCTGGGGCCAACTCGGGGCACAGAGTCCACCCGAAAGCAGCATGCCCTGACTGGTGCCCAGCCCCACAGGGACACAGGCCTCAGGGTGCCCAGGACGGCAGCTACTCCCCACAGCCTCTGTCCTCTGCCCATGGACTTGCTGTAGAGGAAGCACGTGAGGAGAGCTGGGGACACCATCCCGTGGACTTGTCCCCGTGGCCCTGCATGTAGTGGGAGAGGCCATGTGGCTTGTGGGCATCTCCGGGTGTCCCCACACGTGACGGGGACGAAGGTCACCACAGAAAGAGCCGAGAGCTGAGCTGGCAACTTGCTTTATTGAAAACTAAAAAGCACGAAAGAAAGAGCTCAGCACCCGGCGAGCTCTGGCCGGCAGCCTTGGCCCGCGGGAGGCTGTGGCCGGCGCTCCTGGAGAGCAGTAAGAAAGTGCTCGCCATCCATCTGCGGAGACGGGGCTGCTGGGAGGGCGGGGTGGGCTCAGCCCCCGCACAGGGGGTTCCCCGGGGGGGGTCCTACGCATCTGGCCGCAGCCCGCGGAGGTCCTCCAGCAGCTCCTGGGCCGCAGCCTGCAGGGGTGGGGAGCGGCTCTTGGTCATGGCCACGATGCGCTGCAAGGGCAGAGAGCTGCAGAGCTCGGCCGCCGACTTGGAGAAGACGTCGGGCTCCAGCACCACCGACTGGACGAGGCGCAGCACGTGCAGACACACCTCAGCGTCAGGATCTGGGGACGGGGCGTGGTCAGAGCGGAGCCGCTCACCAGAACGGCCCCTGTGTCCCGGCCACATGTCCTCACTGTCCCCCCAGAGGGAAACGGTCAAGCAGCAGAGGGCCCCGGGGCACCGTGGCTGCCAGGGCCTGCCAGGGTCCCACACAGAAGCGACCAGGATACCTTCACAGCCTGGGTGAGCAGGCACAATGGGCACCTGAGGGCTGAGGCACTCAAGCCACTTGCCCAGAGGCCACACACGCCCAGCATCTGGGAGTATTGAGACTGTGGCGACAAGGGCCCCAAGGTGATGGCCCCAGAGGAGCACTGTGAAGGGGTCCCCGAGAGCACAGGACACTGCAGGGACCAAAAGCCCTCAGCGAGCCAGACTCCAGCAGCCGTGATGCCCAACAGACAGGCAGCAGGCAGACAGAGAGGCAGACAGACAGACAGACAGACAGGAAGACAGCAGACAGGAAGGCAGACAGACAGACAGCAGACAGGCAGGCAGGCAGGCAGGCAGGCAGAGAGGCAGATAGGCAGATAGGCAAGAGAAGCTGTCTGCCTGTATCCAGGCCGCCGAGGCACTGGAGATGGATTCACTGCTGAGACCGTCCACTGTGGCAAGCACAGGGCACAGGAAGGTCTGGGGCAAATGCTGGAGAGGGTTCCAACAGACCAACAGGCTAAGAGTCAGGAAGGCAAATGCCCGGGGGGCACCCTCAGCAGTGCCCGGTCGAGCAGCACAGGGGCCCGAGACATGTGTGGGGTTCTCAGAGAAGCTACAGCTGGTAGCACCTCACCCTTCCACCATGCTGGGGAGTCATCCCGGGGCCACATGCCTAATCTCGCCGTTTTCTCTGCAAAGCATGAGCCCATCGAGGCACAGCAGCAAATGCTGCCTGGTGTTCCCCAGTGTGCGCATACTTGGCACTTCTCACAAAATGCTCCGAGAAACACGTCCTCCCTGCAGCCCGGCTCCTGCGGTTGCTCCTGCAAGCAGGGCGGGAGGGTCCCACAGTGAGACCCCTCACAGGTGCCCTGAGCTCCCCGGCTCAGCGCCACGGCCCGACACTGGTCACATGTGCCACATGCCACACTGTCCAGGCAGACACGGACCCACCCACATGCAGCAGGAGCCCATGTCAGCTGTGGGGGTACAGGTTGGGCTGCCACACATCTGACACACACAGGCACGTATTCGGCACTCAGTGGCACATGTCTAACACATGCTCAGGCACACACCGACATGCTGGGACACAGACTCAGACGTGCCGGCCCACGCCTGGCATCTAATTTCATCTGAGGCACATATGTGCAGGCATGCACACACACAACGCAGAGGGCTGGTCAAACTGACCTGGGATAGGACAGCGGGGAGGGCACTTGCCTTGCGTGCGGCCAACTCAGGTTTGATCCCTGGTATCCCATGTGGTCCCCCGAGCACCATCAGGAGTGATCCCTGAGCACAGGGCCAGGAGTCAGCCCTTAGTGTGGCCAGGTGTGGCTCCAAACCAAAAATGGCCATGGTCACGGTCCTCCCGTTGTTCATCAATTTGCTCGAGTGGGCCCAGTAACGTCTCCATTTTGAGATTTGTTGTTACTGTGTTTGGCATATTGAATACGTCACGGGTAGCTTGCCAGGCTTTGCCGTGCGGGCAAGATACTCTCAGAAGCTTGCTGGGCTCTCCGAGAGGGGCGAAGGAATCGAACCTGGCTCTGCCGAGCCGGCTGCGCGCAAGGCAAATGCCCTACCACTGCACTATCGCTCCAGCCCTAACCAAAAACGAGTAAGTAAAAAAGCCAACTGTGGCTTGAAACCAAGGCTGCCCCATGCCCACCCATCTTCCCAGCCGCAACTACAGGCCACTGAGCGTCTCTGGCTTGCTGTGGTCCAGCCCAGGTCCTTGGGCCCCTCTGAGAGGACAGGCTCCACACTGCGAATGCCCGAGGATGGGAGAAATGTGGACCCAACACTAAGGTGCTGAGGGAAGGCCCGTCCCATGACTGCTCTCTCCACCTGCTTGAGTCCGCCGGGGCCTGCCTCTGGTCCCGGCCCCTCACTCTCATGAGTCCCCCTTCCCCTCCCTCAAGCACACTCCGTCAGAGCTGACAGCTCATCCGTGGGCAAACTTCCGCAGGCCGCTAGCCTTGGCTTTCTCACTGCTGATGTTCCCGCATCCTGGACCCCATCTGCCGGGACTCTCGTGGTCGGCTGCAGCCGCTCCTGAGAGATGATCTTCCCGCCTCACTGGGGAGCATTGTGGTGGTCTGACTCTGATGCAGAGCTGCTAGGACCCTAATGAGGTGAATGGCTGTCACTGAGCAGAAGAGGAGAGTGTCCTGAAGCCCCCCACGATGGGGAAGGAACTCGGGGTCCCTGCTGCCACTTACACTGTGTCTGGGCGCAGAGGGGCATGTCTGAGCCTCCCCCGGCCCGGCACTGAGAGAAGGTGACCCGGCTCAGACTCGGCAGTGGCAGCACGACTCCGAGGCACAGCGGGGAAGCCACCTGCCCTGCAGACTAACCGCTCGGGCTCGGTCCCCCAAGCTCCGCGAGGAGCGATCCCTGAGTGCAGAGTCAGGACTAAGCCCTGAACGGCAAGGAAACCCACACAGCTGAAGCAGAATGATTCTGAAAGCAGAGCCATGAGGATTCTGTAACAGATGGGATGTGGGTGTGGGGAGACGAGAACATTCCCCTGTTTACAGAGGCCCCGGAGAGCGGAAGGAGTGCTGTCAGCGCTGGGATCAAGGATTCTGGGGGCCGGGCCTGACGCGGAGGAGATGCGGAAGTGGGCCCCAACAGTCTGAGTGTCTATTAGCTGCCCACGGGGACGCATCCGAGTGTCTGTTGGCTGCCCACGGGAACACGTCTGTCTGTTACACCGCCACGTGGACACGTGTGTCTATTAGACATCTGTGTCTCTATTAGAGTCCCACGTGGAAAGTCTCTCAGAAGCCAGAGTGGACGTGACTGTCTTCTGGATGCCCAAACGGAGACATCTGCAGGACGCGCTCTTAGAGAGGCCTAGCCGACTCACGGACCACATCTGGGTATCCGTGAGGAGCCCGTGTAGAATCGGTGTCTGTTAGGTAGCACACAAAGATGTCCAGTATACAGAGCCTGGACTTGGAGAGAGCTGGGCCAGAGGGGGAGATCGGGTGGAATGACCAATGTTTCTGTCACTTAAACCAAACAGAGACAAGAGTGGAGGACAATGCCGATGACACTAGCGCAGGGACATGGGCAGAGCCTTCTAGAACATGCGTCACCCTCAGGCACACTCTGATTTCATCAGCCCCTCCCACTAGAAGTCTGAGGCCAAGAGGAATGTGAAGAATCTGGAGAAAGCCTGGGAAATAGCCAGGCACGGAGCTGAATAAAGGGAAGGGACAGGGGGTCTGGCCAAGGTCAGAGGAAGTGAGATAACTCAGGGAGGACAGCGCAGGCTCTGCCCTGGCCGGATTGGAGAATCCGCGGCACCTTCAGGTCATACCAACAGAAGGAAGCAAGCTTTCACTGTGGCACAAGAGATTAGAAATGAAAAGGAAGCACATCTATCTGACGCCTACCGTATTAGGTCACCAGTCCACACAACCTCACTGGAATACTATCAGACCCCCAGGCGCCCACTTTGTACACAAAAGCAGAGTAAATAAGGGTCAGGGAAGTTCCCAGTGTAAAAACTCCCATTTGGATTTGGGTCTAAGAGTCCAAAATTCATGTTCTTTAACTGTCTCAAATCTCTTAAGGGAAAACGGATCCAGTGGGAGCTGGTAAGAGAGGTCACGTGACCGTCCCTACACCATAGTTGTCTGTCTGTCTGAGACTTTTCCCAGCCGCAACTGAAAGCAGCGGAAGGGTTAGTTCATCTCCCACCTCTCTGATGTGGGGCCTCCCGAGTGCAGGAGGCCCAGGTTCCATCCTGGCACCACGGGGGCCCTTAGGCGTTTCCAGAGCAGCCCCCGAGCACTGCTCCGTGTGGCCCAAACAACACACGAGAGCAGCCAAGTGCCTGGCCTCTGCAGTGTGATCACCCAGCCCGTCCGCCTCGCGAGGCACTGAGGGCTTCTTGCCTTCACTCAGGCTGGCTCAGCCCCACCTATGTGGCCGTACCCACCGGCCCTCCAAGAAGGGGTACAAACACGCAACAGGAGCCCTGGGCCTCACTGGTGGTCAGCTGGCTGAAGCACAGAGGGTCAGGGTCTTCAGGACGACCATCATCCAGGCCTCCCCATGCCCGCCCAGGGCCCTGAGGTCAGAGGAGGGACTGGGCCCAACTTTCAAGCGCCCTCAAACACTACTTCAGTGAGGGCCTGTTTCTGCCTTTAAAAGGGAGGCTCGGGGCTGGAATGATAGCACAGCGGGGAGGGCATTTGCCCTGCATGCGGCCAACCCAGGTTCGATTCCCAGCATCCCATATGGTCCCCTGAGCACTGCCAGGGGTAATTTCTGAGTGCAGAGCCAGGAAGAACCCCTGTGCATCGCCAGGTGACCCAAAAAACAAAACAAAAAAAGGGGGAGGCTCATGTTGCTCTCCTGAGAAACACTCTGCAAGCGCCCACAAAGTCTCACACACACACACGCTCTGGCCACTCCACATGGGCTTCCGCCAAATGGACCCAGTTCCACAGGACCCGGGACAGCGTGCCCAAGAGACGGCCTGCAGACCGAGGTCAGGAGCACTCCCGGGCCTGGGGCCCAGTCTCAGAGGAAGATGATCTGGTCCAGCAGCCACACACACGCGACCCAGCTGCCTGGAGCCCCGGCTGGGGGTGCTCCTCACAGACAAGCCTGCACGCAGCTCCACAGAGCAGCAGCTACGATCCTGGTGTCAAGAGAGACTCAAGCAGGCCTCAGACCCGACCCCCCACGTGGCACCGCAGTGGGGGAAGAGGAAAGTGGTGCCCGGAGGTGGTGAGCCGATAGGCTGCTCTGACTGTGAGGGGATGCTGGGGTTCATTCACAGCACTCAGCAGCCATGTGCCGACAGCACTGCCCCGTGCAAGCTCCAACCTGGACGGGTTTAGACCACGGAGGAAAGTGAAGTCTGGCCTCGCACATCTGGCTGGAACACGGGCGCTCTGCAGCGCCAGGAAAGATAAGACAGGCCGGGCTGGACTGCAGAGGGGAGAGTAGGCCAGGCGCCGCCCCCTCTCTCAGCTCGCAGGCCCCAGCCTCCTTCTCCTTCCCCTACACGCATGCGTGACAAGGACGGCTGACTCCACGCGCCCGCGGTGGGGGTACGCGCCCTGTGCCCAGAACAGGTGGAAGCCGCATGGGGGTGGGGGAGGTGCCTCCTTACCACTCAGGAGCCACCACAGCAGAGGGATGAAGCCTGGGCTCTCGCTGATGTACTTGAGGCCCTTCAGGTTGATGCTCACATTGTACAGGGACATCAGCATTAACCTGCAACAGACAAGGATGCTGAGGCCGGCCCAGCCAGGGCCCCCACTCCAGGCACCCAGTCGATGGAGTATCCGTGCCTGGGGGTTCCAGGGCCCGGGAGCTTTAGCTACAGTGCCACCCAAGTCCCCCGCCATCCTAAGCTGCTGGGATGAGGGGGCACTGGCAGAGCGCCGCCCAGGAATGCCCAGTGCAGATTCACCGACCCACCGTTCACACTCAGGATGCCGTGACTCTTGTCGCTCCCTCCCGGCTCCCAGGGGAGCCCCTGCTCCTTCAGTCTGCTGTCCTGGGCACCACCCTACCTCCGACAGCCAGCACAGCGCCCCGCCCAACCCAACCTAGAAGGCCACATCCATGGCTGGGACACTGAAATGGGACCTGCTGCAGAGCACATGCCCGTCGGGTCATTGTTTGTTTTTTGGTTTTGTTTTGTTTTTCAGGTCACACCTGGCGATGCTCAGGGGTTACTCCTGGCTTTGTACTCAGGAATCACTCCTGGCAGTGCTCAGGGGACTATATGGGATGCTGGGAATCGAACCCAGGTCGGCCGCGTGCAAGGCAAACACCCTACCTGCTGTGCTACCACTCCAGCCTCTATTTGTTTTTTTAATGGGAGTACTGCTATTTATTCAGCCACTGATTAAGCTGACTGAATTGGGCATGAACTTACATTACTTTTTTTTCACTCAGAATGTTAATTTAAATTTTATTTTATTATTATTCCCCTCCCCCCTTGTTTTGATTCACCGTGAGAAACAGTTACAAAGCTTTCATGTTTGCACTTTGGTCATACAATCATCAAACACCATCCCTTCACCAGTGCACATTTTCCACCACCAAAATTCCCAGTCTTCCCCCGACCCCTTTTCAACCCTTCCCCTGCCTGTGCGGCAGACAATTTCCCCCATACTCTCTTCTCTACTTTGGTTACATTCGATATTTCAACACCAATCCCACCACTACTCAACCCTGCCGAGAAAGCAATGCTAGACGGTTTGTTTTGTATTGCTTGTTTCGCTGCTTCATTGTGAGGGGCCAAAAGCAACCTGCAAGTCGTCAGGGCTCTTTGAAGTGTCTGATTTGGTCAGAATCAGCCTCTGTAAGCAACTCAAACAGAACAGCAAGACCATGTGTGCCACAGGACACAAAGACCAGACTACTCTGAGGTCTCCTATAGCCTCACAAGCCACCATACAAATGTCTCCTATCCCAGACTTACCTCTGACTACAAGAATATGTATGTGTCAAGTCATAGGAGACCGCCCACTCAATGCACCCTTCCAGCACAACCACAAAAGCTGAGCCCCCTCTGCGACACACAGGCCAGGGGTCCCACTTGCCCTTCCAGCAAGCCCCCTAAGCAGAGGTTCCCTGAGAACGGCCAGTGGCCCCAAGAAGCAACCCTATGTTGCTGGGCAGCCCTCCCGTTTCAGGCACCCAGTCCGCAATTTTGGCTAAACTTCAAGCAAGGTCGAGAGAAAGGGAGAATGAGACTGTGAGGCTGGAAAAGCCCTGTGGGCTGTGCCCAGGGTGAGCGAGCCCCCTTCGGTGAGATGGCCCAGGTCCAGACAAGACAGGTCTCAGGAGAAACCCACTCTCTCCCCCGAGGGGGCTGAAGGCACAAGCACGTGGCGGATCAAGCTCATCCCTGACCTGAGAAGAATCACACCTGTGCACTGAGAAGCAGCAACGAGCAAACACGCCCAGTACTCCAGAGCCAGCAATGAAGGAAACAAGAAGAATACGCAGGAGCAAAAAGCCAGGGGCCAGCAGTCCAAACCGACAAAAAGCTGAGGTCGCTGAACCAGCAGATGAGGCACTGCGGACGCCAGGGCATGCGCCCGAGACGCAGCGGGCACAGAGGAAGGCGGTCATGACCCACCCGCTCCGCACTTCACTGGCTGAGGAGCAGGGCCACAGTCACGAGCAACGATTCAGCGCGGCTCTGATTTCCACCTCAGTGGCCCCAGAGAGACCTCCTTTCCCTCCTGCAGATGTGAAGGTTGGAAGTGAGGAGCAGCCTGCACTGCGCCGAGGGACGTGTTACTGGCTGGCTCTGAGAACCGCCACGCGCCCGGATGTCACCATCCAGATGCTGTGCCCTGGGCTGGACTGAGGCAGGACTCAGTCGGCTGCTGGCACGTTGGCAGCGCTTCCTAGCACAGCGCTCTCCGCTTGCTGCCTTGGCGGGGCACCTGGGGCAGGCTCAGGGGGCTACCGGCTCCCCCCCTCCCACTGTAGGGAGACAGCTCCACTCAGCATCCCACCTCCCCACGGACACTCACGCATATGCGCGTGCCACACTACTGACCTCTGCTGGGCACACCTGGCAGTGCTGGGGAGCAAACTGGCAGAATGACCCTCCAGACCAAAATTCCTTTCTGTGACTGTGAAGCCTACGTGGATTTTTAAATGTACAGACAATGATCCAATGAGACCCAAACCATCTCCCAGGTAACCGAGACCCACAGCTGTCACCCAGTACGGACCAAAACAACAGATATTCAGCATGTGACGGCTGAAAACCCTACTTCCCCGCCCCCAAAGCCCAACTGTTGGGGGAACATTCTAGAAGCACTGCCTGCCGGTGCCCCGCATGAGATTCGGGAGGCGGCTCTGCAGCTGCACCTGTCTCCCCCCTGCGCCTCCGTCTTCCAATCTTCCAAACACCAACTAGTTCCCACAGCCCCGCTAGCTGCCTGCGGCACCCACTGCTGGGAGATTCCCCTCCGGTCAGTACTGAGCCCCTTCCCCTGAGCGGAGGCCTCGGCCAGCTGGAGCCCCACTGGCGCTCTCTCCCTCAGAAGCTGGTCCTAGCATGCGGCATCACCCCAGAGGATCCATGCTGCCACGTCCCGGTCATTCCCATGCGGCTCATGCGTGCAGGACCTGGCTGGCTCAGCTGGGGTAGCCACAAACCCGGACCCCAAGATCCGCTCCCCCCTTCTCCCATATGCCCAACAGCAGCTCAGGACACTGTGGCCCCCCCACACCTCCACCGCTGCCTGCTGAGAGCCAAGTGGCCCTTCAGGAACTCAAGGTCCCTGGGGGCCATGGCCGACACTGCCCTCGGGAGCCACCAGAGTGGGTGTCAGGCCTACCCAGGAAGGACAGATAATCGGGAAGGGTCTAATGAGAAGAAGTTAATGAACAAGAACCCTACAATGGCAGGGGGGCCCTCAAACTTGGAGTATGTGAAACGGTGTTCGGCCAACTCCTGCCAAGTGCTGGGGACATGGCAGTGAAGTCCCAGGGCATGGAGGGCTGAGGCAGATGGGGAAACGGGGCCCAGCTGGCACCCCCTCATCCGTGTGAAGGGCCAGTGCCCCGCCAGCAGCAGGAGTGCCTCCGGGGGCCTGCTAGCCTCACTGGACTGAGCAGGAGCAGGAACCTGGGCTCAGAGCCAGCAGGAGGCCATTTCCTTGGGGTGCAGGTTACACAGCCTAAGAAATGAGCCCCCAGGCCCCCCGCAGCAGCACCTTCACCCCAACCAGACATCAGAACTTGCCAGAACTGAAGGATCAGGGACTGGAGCGATAGTACAGCAGGTAGGGCGTTTGCCTTGCACGCGGCCAACCTGGATTCAATTCCCAGCATCCCATATGGTACCCTGTACACCACCAGTAGTAATTCCTGAGCGCAAACCCTGAGCATTGCCAGGTGTGGCCCAAAAAGAAAAAAAAAGAACTGAAGGGTTAGAGTCCCCCGCCCACACCCCCCCCCCCAAGCAAACCACCTGCCTGGGTGCAGCAGAATCCTGGCCCTCCCATCCCCCATCTGCAACCCAAGAGTGGACGCAGGACCTCCCTGCCCCTCCCCTGGACAGGCCACCATCCACCCGGCCCCAAGGGGAGAGGCAGAAGCAGAGCCGACGCCCAGACAGATGCAGCCCAAACCCCTGGAAACAGTTGTATTCTCAGCCGTGTGGAACAGGGGTGCGGGGCCTGCCTGAACACAGACCCCTTCTCAGTGCAGAGGGGAAGAGGCCGGCCCGGGCTGGCACACTGGGAACTGGAGCCGAATGTGCTGCCACGGAGGGGACCGTGGGCGCTGCTGGAGGGGACCCTGAGGGGAGGCGTCACTCGGATGATGAGGCCCAGGGTCTGGCCATATCGAAGCGCATCACGCCATGGAGTGGAGAAAACCGAGCAACCTTGACATTAGGCTGCCGAGTGAATCATCTCCCGCGATGTTCCAGCCACTCGAAATAGCAGGAGGGGGTGGCGGGCAGCCAGTAAGCCGCGCTCAGGAATGCTCGGGAGAACGGGGTGACTGGCGGCTGCAATGCCCCAGGAGACGCCCTCCCTGGGGGAGGCAGGGGAAATGGGCTGCCACGGCTGCGGGGCCCGGCTGCACACGCAGGAGCTTCGAGGTCGCCTCTCCAGAAAACAGGCCATCCTAGGGACACCTCTCCTGACCCCTGCGAGGCAAGAGTGGTCCCGAAATAACACCAACAGACAGACGGGGCATGGGCAGGCGGGCAGCCCGGCTGCGGGGGCTCAGAGGGCTGTATGTCAGGGCAGCCGTCCTGGCACGAGGCGGCCATGTGCGGGCCCAGGAGACCCTGTCAGCTGTGGACTCCAACGCAGGCCAGTCCTGATCAGGAGCAGAAGCGCAGCCCATAAACGGCCGTTCTGGTGTCCGTGCGGGTAACGGGGAGAGCGACCAGGAGGGGGGCCCAGGCGTAAATGAAGACAAATTCTTCCTCTCAAACTCGTAAAACTGAAACCAACCTGTAAGTCCCTTTGCAACAAGCCTTCAAAGCAACAAGCATTCCAGGTAGACGGGTCCCCAGGATGAAGACGTGAGCCCTTCTGGAACGGGAATGGGCAGGCCCCACCCTTCCTGTTACGCCACGAGACACCTCCAGGTTCCACGGTTCCGACAGTGAAGATGGTCACACTGGAGACGCATCAGCACCAATGAGCTCAGGAAATCCTCAGACAATGGCTTCAGGACACCACAGCACTATCCATCACCACAAAGTGACTTTCACTGACCTACTTCCTGACAATTCCATTTGCCACTTTCCGTCATATGCCAGTGAAGGGGCAGGTTGGCGGGTGGGAGGGAAACTTTAGACATCAGCAGAGGGAAAGTCACACCTGTGCTGCCATTGGTGCTGAGACATTGTCCCAAATGACTATGAGAAACAACTTTGTAAACCATGGTGGTGTAATTTTTTTTAAAAATAAAGGAAAAAACTATGTCCTTTGGGGCCAGAGCGATAGTACAGCAGACAGAGTGGTTGTCTTGCATGCTGATAGAGGTTCAATCCCTGGCACCCCACAAGGTCCCCAAGACCCGCCAGGAGTGATTCCTGAGAGCAGAGCCAGGAGTAGGCCTGAGCACCACTTGGTGTGGTCCCCAAACAAAAACAATTTCTTACATTAAAATTTAACATTAGGGGCTGGAGTGATAGCACAGCGGGTACGGCGTTTGCCTTGCACTCAGCTGACCCGGATTCGATTCCCAGCATCCCATATGGTCCCCCGAGCACCGCCAGGAGCAATTTCTGAGTGCATGAGCCAGGAGTAACCCCTGTGCATCGCTGGTGTGACCCAAAAGGCAAAAATACAAAACAAAACAAAAAATTTAACATTAAAGGGGGTTGGAGTGATAGCACACTCCAACGCTTGCCTTGCACATGGCCGACCTGGGTTCTATTCCCAGCATCCCATATGGTCCCCCAAGCACCGCCAGGAGTAATTCCTGAGTGTAGAGCCAGGAGAAACCCCTGAACACTGCTGGGTGTGACCCAAAAAGAAAAAAAAAACAACCTTAACATTAAAAAACAAATTGGGGAGGGGGGGTCATACCCGGCGGTGCTCAGGGCTTACTTTTGACTCAGACCCTGTGTGGTACTGAAGATCAAACCCAGGTTCAGCACGCACAAAGCAAGCCACCTCCACCCCGACCCCCCCGTACTCTCTCCCCAGACTCTGAAGGTTTAAATACCTTCTGCGGCTGAGGCATCAGACTGCATGAGCAGACTGATCATGGGGTGACAGCAAAGCTGACCTGGGCACGGCATAGCATAAATCCCGGCAAACTGTGTGGCCTGGCTCTTGAGGGTTGGTGACTGGGCATTAGCCCTGAGGACAAGGACGTCAGGGAGTAAAGGCCATGACCACTGAAAGGCAGGGACTCAAGGGAAGTCAGCCAGGGATGCAGCCAGAGTCCCAGAGGAGGGTAGCAGGCTAGCCTCAGGGGTCAGACGAGATCACCCAGAAAGGTAGGAGACATCTTGAAGGCCCTTCATCCCATGTTCCACGCCGTGGACCAGAACAGGCTAGCATGCAAGGGTCAGGAGCTCCTTGGGAGACCGGAGAGTCTTGGACCCAGAGGGAATTAGCTGGCTCCCTCAGCACTGAGCTTGTCCAAGGCAGACCACGGGGTGGTGACAGGCATTGTGAAGGCCTGTAGCAGTCATTAAGGAGACTACATTCCAGGGGCCCAGAAGATGACTTGCTTCTTACCACAGGACTGACCCGTAAGGAACTGTGGAACCAAACATGGGGTTTGGGGAAATTTGGCAGCACTCAAAGGCTTTGGGATGCACAAAGACCCAAACAATTCAAGCAGACCGCAGGATGAGCCTAAGATCCTTCGGCCAGGATCGTTCCAGCACATTCTCAGCCCACAGCAGTCTCGGTCACCCTGTCCGGAGCCGCGTCCTCAGGCACAGGGTGCGCGTCCAAGCACGTGCTGCCAGTTGTGACGAGTGCCTGGCAGCCCTGAGGTCTGTGCGTAAAGGCGGCCAGGGCACAGCCAGGTGACGACGCGTGGTCACCACAGAGCCTGGGAGGCCAGCCCATACGGCCCAGCGCCGAGGAGACTTGGGAGAAGGGAAGGGGCAGGCATGCTGTGGGAACCCTCACCCTGTGGGGTAACCGCAGCAGGAGACCGCCCCAGAACGTTCCTGGATGCCTCCTATGGGGGAGCAGCCCCAGGAAACCTCTCCCTGGCTGCTCCAACATCTCACTCATCCTGGCCTCAGAGGCCCACACTGGGGTGCCAAGTGACTCTGGGCTGGCTCTGGGAGTGGCAGCTTGTCCGGAGCCCCGGATCGTGTGAGCCACAAAAACGGTCTAGTCGGAGACGCACCAAGCTGGGCCGTGCCAGCTGGCAGCTTCCAACCAGCACCAGGCCAGCCCCAGGCCCAGTGCCCCAGACAGCAGGGGGCATCTCTACACGCCACCTCCCAGGACTCTTCCTCAACTCGTGACCTCCACCCTGGCACTCCCTGGCCCTGGCCTCTCCCCTGCAGCTCCTTTCCCACCTGTCGCTGGAATGCTGGACCCGTGTGCCCGCGTGGGCTACACGCTTGTCACCACATGCACAGCCATAGCCAGGGACACATGTGGTCCTGAGAACACTCAGGGACACCTTTGCTGTTCTGAGCTTCAACTAGCACCTGGTGTCCTGTCGCTGTGGTCATGGGCAGTGTGCTCCAGCCCAGTACTGGGGGACAGTCCTCGTCCCCAGCCAGCCTGCCGCCAGCTCCCGTCTGGGTCCCCACTGGCTGCTCAGAATGCCTGACTGCATTCAACGGAGCAGGTGTGCGGGTGGTCTTACCTGGGCCCAGAAACCAGCTCAGCTTAGCGAGGCTGCAAGAAAACCGGCCCTCACCCCAAGCCTCTCCTTGGAAAACCATGCAGAGGAGCAGTTCACAGAACAGAGCCTCAAGCTACGCGGTCCTGAGTCTGTCTCAGCAGCTGTCTGGGAACCCCCATTAGAACACTGGGAGTGACGTAACTTCAGGGCAGAGCTCTAGGACGGCCCTGGCCCTCAGGGGGAATGTATCACACACTGCTCACAGGGAGCAAGGGCAGGCACGAAGACAGTGGGGGTCCACGGGGAAGGAAGCCCCTCGCAGCACAGAGCCTCACCCAGGCACCTGGGGACGGGGCTGGGGACACTGCTGCCCCACCCTGCCCTTGCCACCATGAAGCCCCAGCAGCCAGAGCCGCTACTCAGACAAGGCGGCCGAGACACCGAGATGGGCCTGGGGACTGGCCACTGCAGATGCCCGGAGGTCGCCTGATGCCTGGGGGCTGACCAGATCCCTCGGCTGTGCATGTTGTTGGGCACTTCTGCGGGCAGCCCTTAACCCTCCAAGTGACTTGCTCCCACGTTTTGGAGGGGTATCCTTGAGAGGGGCATGGCCAATGCCCCCCCAAGGATGAGTGCAGACGCCCCACCCAGCGTACGTACACTTTGAGCTTGGTGCACTGTCCGGGCTTCAAGTCCCCCAGAAGTTGCAGTATGGTGTCCAAGAGCACGCGGCTGGAGTTGACCAGGAACTCCCGGCCACAGGCTATGGCGGCAACATCTGCGAGAGAGAGACCAATGTCGGGAGAGAGAGACCAATGCCTCCAGGGACTAAGGGGAGCCAGATGGACTCACAGTCCCGACAGCTACGACGACAGAGCGAAGGCTTGTGAGGGGGACAGGGCTCTGGAGCCCACCGCGTCCACACCCGCCCCTCGCCCGGGGCTCACTGTGCTCCTCCAGCAACAGGCACTCACAGTCTACAGCCAGCACCCACACAATTTGGGGTTTGGGCTTTTTGCTTTGGAGCCCACACCCAGCCACATTCAGGGGTTCCTCCTGGCTCTGCACTCAGGGTTTACTCCTGGTAGGGCTTGGGGAATTATATGGGGTGCCGGGGATTGAACCTGAGTTGGCCACCTGAGCTGACGTGCAAGGCAAGTGCCCGTCCACCGTACTATCTCTCCAGCCCCTCAGCACCTACCTTTTGTTTGGGGAGGGGGTGCTGATGACATAATTGGACCGAAGTGCAAGAAATTACATGTGACCTGGGAGTGAGCCCCAACGGGCCTTGAAGCCTGAGGGTGCAGCCGAGACCTGCCTCTGACGGCACCTGCCAGGTGCAGGGGTCACCGTGCCCGAGCCCCTGCAGGCCCAGCGGAGACCAGCCTGAATGAGACAGCCCCCAGCTGACCACTCCGTCCCCATCCACCTGCTCCTAGGGTGTGGTAGAGTCCTGCGCTGCCCCGGGATGTCGGGGCGACTGAGACACCTGACTCAGATGAACGGCGCCTATCCCCACCACCTCTTAGGGAGATGCTCCACGGACTCAGGGTGAAGTTGGAAGAAGGAACCCCTTCCTGTGTGAGGGCATTTTCCCCCACTTCCTGCTGGTCTGGAACCATCAAGACCAGGCTGGGATAGACACGACAGTGGGGAAGGCATGAGCCGTGCACACAGACAACCCATTCAACCCCGGCACCACATAGGGTGAGGCCAACCCCCACCAAGAGTAAGCCCTGAGCACTGCCAGGTGTGGCCCCAAGCCAAACCCATAGTAACAGAGTCCAACTTTTATCACTGAGCTGTGTCTGAGGCCGCAGAGAATACAGAAGGATGGCTCTCCCTCATATACGGCTGACTGGGTCGTAATTCCCAGGGCCTCCTGCAGTTCCCAGAGCACCACCAGGACTGATCCCTGAGACAAACCAATGAAACAAAAAGATAAATAAGAAATGCGTCTGATATTTCTTATACGTATTTACATTAGATCTCTTTTTGGTGTAAATTACGTACGTGGTAAAGATACAAAGTCGAGATGTGCTGTCTGCTGCCTCTGCTTCAGGCTCTGAGCATTCTCCCTTACTCCAAAGACAGAGAAAGTCATGGGACCAGGGCAATAGCAGGAATAAACATGGGACCAGGGTAACAGAGGAATTCAGAATCCCACATAAACGCTTACAGTGATGAGCTGACCTGCCTGGGTATCAAACAGAGAAGGGACCAAAGATGGGCCTAAGGGGCCAGAGGGATAGGAGAGCAGGGAGGCCTCTGGCCCTGCACACAGACAACCTGGGTTCATCCCTGGCACCCTACATGGTCCCCTAAGCCCTGCCAGGAGCGATCCCATTCAACAGACACTGCTAAGACACCTATGTGCACAGAAAGGAAGGCAGACTCCACCCGGCACAAATCAAAGTTTGCTCAGAGAGGGGACAGGAAGGGATGAGTCAGAATGTCAGACAATCCTGGGCACCCTCAGGAGGGGCCCGGGCGGAGAGAAGAGAACAAGTCCCCAAAACCCAAAAAATATAACTAAAGCGGAACAAAGGTCCTTCAAAAAGCTGACTCCAATGTCCCCACTGGCCCGGGAGGGCGACTGGCTGCTCGTCCACGCAGGGAGGACTGCGGACATGGTGGCATCTCGGTGACTGCCTCCAGCTGGGGAACAGGAGGACGGGCATGACGTGAAGGGCAGTGGGGTTTCCTGGGGCATAAAGAAAACATTTGAGAATCGACTGTTGAGATGGATGCACAAATGCACGAATATACGAAAGCCATCACACTACACACTTGAACGTGCTTGGTCTATATTTCACTAGGGTGCTGAGAAGAAAGCAACGGCACAGATACAGCTCCCACAGCTGATGGGCTGGCCAGTCTCTGCTGCTCATTCTCAACGGTGTTTTGGAGGTTTCTCATCTGCAGCACTAACACTGTCCCACAATTCTGGGTGTTTCTGTTTGGGGGCCTGCACCCTGCCATGCTCAGGGATCAGCTCTGGTAGAATGCCCCCAAAACTTTAAAGAAACATAAGCGGGGCTGTAGCGATAGCACAGCAGGTAGGGCCTTTGCCTTGCACACGGCCGACCTGGGTTCAGTCCCCGGCATCCCATGTGGTTCTCCACACCCCACCAGGAGTAACCTCTGAGCATTGCTGGGTGTGACCCCCAAAAAAATTTTAAAAAAGAAAAGACACATAAGCAAGTTTCCTCAGATACTGCTGCCCTACTTTATTGTGTGGGTTTTATTCCTTTAAGTCAATCCTGTTATTCAGCGGCCGGGCCAGGCCGGGCCAGGCTGGGCCAACCAAGCAGTGTGATCTCAGTCTGGGAACGCGCCGCCTCTGGACAATGGCTGGAAACGCCCTCAGAGCCATGGGGATGCCCAGTTCCTCTGGGAGGTGCCTCAGAGAATTCCATTTCTCTCCACTTCTGAGGAGAAGCCAGGGAGCGTGGGGTCGGGTGGAGAAGAGGTTTTGCCCTGGCCCCGGCTCCACTGTTGGTGCACAGGCTCCCTGGGGTGAGACCAGTCATCGCTGTGCAGGGGGCATGCGCGCTCACGTGGTCAGGGGCCGGAGAGCCAGATGTGTGGCCTGCAGGCAAGACCCTGACTTCCAGGCACGAACAGAGCCTTGACAGGGAGCTAGGAGACTTCTGTCCAGAGCGTCAGCCCCCAGGCAAGCACAGACCAGGCCAAATCTCCCAGTCTGTCAGCAAAAGGCAGCCGGGACAGTGAGGGCTGTCACCCGATGTTGATAAGACAGAGGGGGCCCCCCGGGCAGGGCAGAGAACCTGCAAAGGCCATCCCCAGAACACGATGAAGACACAAAGGGCGATGCAAAGCACCTCAGAGAAGCCAGTGTGGGCCACGGTGAAGGAGCACGGGGGCACATGCCCGGCACACGGTCAACCTGCTTCAACCCCCGTACCCTACGGTCTGCATGCACTGCCAGAGGTGACCCCTGAGCAGAGGCAGGAGTAAGCCCTGAGCACCCCGGGTGTGGCTCAAAAGCAACGAAAACAAACAGAACCAAACAACAACCCGCAAGGACTCTAGGCACAACTTGGCCATCACAATCCTGAACGGATGTTCTGCTTCCTCGGGGTGCCATCCCCAAAGCTGCAGGGAGATGGTCCCCAGCGTCACACCTGAGGAAGTCCATCACGGCACAGGGCACAGCTGTCTCGCTGGTGTCTGGCTAGGATCATGGCGGTCAATGGGCAGTGCCCAGTTTCATCTTGTGGCCTTAACTATGCCTCAACCTGATGAAAATCTGCATCTGAAATGTTGCCTTTCACTGAGATTTTAGAGATTTCTGTGTAAATCAAAGAATCTAACACTGCTCACGTCCTGCAAGTAATCTATAAGGTCGAAGCACTTTTGAAATTTTGCCAACACAAGACACAGAATCAAACATTTCTCTGTGAAAGCTTAGTTAAGTCAGAGCAAGATATAATCTGGGGCTGTGTTTGAGAGAACTCTCCTAAACCCTGTGCATCCGTTGGGGCCAAAAGCATACAGCCAACTAGGGTAGGCACCACCAGGATTGACTCCTGAGCTCAGAGCCAGGAGGAAGCCTAAGCACCACCAGGAATGACCCAAAAATTTTAAAAAAAAGCCAAAAAAACAAAAATCAAAACATTACTTATACCTGTGTATGACAGGTAACCTCCTCAAAGACTCGGTGGAGGAGAGGAAACAGGACGGTCACTCTGATCTGGCAGCTGGCCGACACTCAGGCCTGAGATCACGGAAATATGACCAGACAAGAGCCAGCCTGAGGCATGTGGCAGCCTCACTACCCACCAGTGCTGCGCTGTGCCCCCCTGGAAAGGGAGCTCCCAGCCGAGGGAGCTTCTGGAGCCGGGCCCCTCACTACGGCCTGCATAGCATCATGCCCAGAGCAAAACCCTGCAGTGCAGGCGGGGGCTGTGCATCTGATTCCTGGCACCACAGCATCCCCCACACATCCAGTAGAGCAGGGAGTAGCGGTCCCTGGGCGCGGCTCTACATGGCCCAAAGAGGTGGCCTGGGAAGCCCCAGAAAACTCCCTCAACCCTCACAGTCCAGGCTGACAGAGCACTGATGCATCTGCATTCGTTATGATCCAAGAAATCCCCAAGTTCAACCATGGGACTGGTGAGAATCCCGATGGAGAAAACGCTCCATGGACAGAGCAAATAATTGGAGCAAAAGTCCCCAAATTCACAAGCTCCACCTCACCCTTCATCTGATGTCCTTTCCTGACCCACAGGTGGCCCGGCTGTGACCGCTCCATAAAACTGGCCACACGTCCCGCGCCAGTCCACCCAGTCACCTCACACCACTGAAGCCCAACATGGAGGATCTGGGTTAGCCCATGATCTGGGAGGAACGAAAGGCATCTGCTGCCCCATTTGCTTCCGGGCAGGCCCCCAACACCAGCCCCGCTTGGGCCACCCTAGAGCCAGCCCAGGCCGAGTCAGCCCCGGTTTCTTGAGTCCCATTCTGTGAGGACCTGCCCGTGGAAAACCAGCGATCCCCACAGCGGGACCCAGCACTTTCTCTTTCACATATGAATCCAAGTTGTTTAGAATTCGCGGGCGCACACCACTCTCAACCCAGGAATCCAGGAAACTCGACAGTCAACAGCGTGTACCTAAGCTTCCAGAAAAGACACAAGGTTCGGGTTCTGTGCTCGAGGCTTACTCCTGGCTCAGTGCTCACAGGGCCACTCCACACAGTGCTCAGGGGATCACAGATGGTGCTGGGGACTGAACCCAGGTCAGCCGCACACTAGATAAAGGCCCTAAGCCATGTTATTATATGAGCTTAAGGAAAGCCTCCAGCCCCACAAAACCAGAGTTCTGAGCCCAGGCCCCACTCAGCATTCTCCAAACATCAGGGACCAGCCACCACAGGAGGACAAAGGGCAGCGCTTCCGGAGGTGCTCGCTAGAGAGTAGAGAAAGACCACAAGGGTTTTCTGGAGGAGCGAGCCCCCTTGAAGAGCAGACAGGGCCCCCGAAGCCTTCACTGCAGGAAGGGAAGGCCCACTCAGGGCTGGGCAAGGGCCTGTCCGGAGACCTCCTGGGGGTTGCTCCCGGGGCTCAATCCAGGGGACGGCAGAGCTGGAGAAGCCCCTGCCTCCCTCCCGCACCCCACATCTGAGCCTCCCCACCTTCTCTCTGGCTCCCGACCACAGACCATGGATGGGCAGATAAGCCCTGCTGGCCCTCGCTCCCGCCCAGGCACTGGGACTCGGCAGCGCCCCTCTGAAGGGGATGCCCCAAGGGGCCCAAATGGAATCCCGTCCCCTCCCCGGCCAATGCTAGAGCAGCCACAGCAGCGGCCAGGGCTGCCCAGGCAGAGACTGTCCACACTGTCCATGGGCCCGAGGGGAGCCCTAGGGGCCCGCGAACCACTGTTCTTAGACAGTGAGGCACAGTGAGAGGGAGGAAGGGGAGAGTCGGGGCAACACAGGGATGCCCAAACCCAGTCCCGGCCCACAGGCCAGTTGAGGACGGCCAGAGGCCCCCAGGGGCTGAGCACTGCAGGGAAACACATAGGCGGGGCTGATGGAAACACTTCACACTCCCAAAGCTGAGGAAAACCAACTGCAGGGCTTAAGGAGAAGAGACCGAGGAGGCCAACGGTTATGCCACTGCCCGCCAGCTTCCACCCAGTGGGGCACAGGTGGCCAAGCGGGTTTCACCCTCCACTGGCTGCACCGTGCCTTGACACGCTAAGACCCCAACCCTAGTGGTGGCAGCAGGAAAGCCCGTCTGAAGGCCGGGCTGCTATCTTAGGGACATCAGGAGCTGTGGGCCCCATCACCAAAAGGAACAATGCCTACCCCGAGAGCCCCCTCCAGAGCGACTGTGGGCACTGCACGGCACCCTCAGGAGAGCTGAGGCCAGGGGCTCCCTCAGCATCCCCCAGGCCAGACCTCGCAAGGGCCGCAGATCACCAACCCAGAGCCGACAGCTCCCCCGGTTCTCTGTACCCCAGCCCTGGTGGCAACTCTGAGAGCAGATCCTCGCCCCCCCCCCCCAGAAGAGGCCGTACCCAGGGGCAGAATCACTTACTTGTCACAATTCCAGCCAATGCGAAAACAAACTGATTCTCGTCTGAGTCCAGCTCCTTGACGTCCCCATCCAGTGACTTCACAAAACTCTCCATGGTCTGACCCGTGATGCGGAAGAATTTCGGAGCTTTACCCTGCAGGTCAGGGAGTCAGTGTGTTCCCGGGACAGCAGCTGGCCCGGGCTGAGGGTGCCAGTCAGGCAGGGAGGCATGTGCCTGGCCCGGCGAGGCCCTGGGCTCCAGGCGCTGCCACCGCTGACTGTGGCCCTGGTAGCCCCATAAACTCACTAAGCACAAGGCCCCCATGCCCAGGTCACAGCTGGGTGCACTCAGGGGAGAGTGCTCGCATGCTTACCCCTGCCAGGATGGCTCTGACAACATCCTCGCTGCCGGAGACGCCCCACAGGAGGGTGCAGGCGGCCGCGCCCATCTCAGTGCAGTACTCGGCCTGCTGCAGGAGCTGCTGCCTGGCCTCGTGCAGCTGCTGCTGCAGACTCAGCTTCTCCTGCATGGACAGACGCTGTGAGAACTGCGAGAGCGGTGCCCCCTCTGCACCTGCCCTCCCTGAACGCAGGGTCTCGGGAACCGACTCAAGCAAGAACTGCTCTGAGCCAGACAACGCTCTGGGTTGGTCACTTCCGCTCCCGGGCCCAGGGATCAAACCCAGGACCTCACGGCAGAGCTCTGAGCCATGTTCCCCGTCTCCCTGCTCAAGGTGGTTCCCGGAGGTAGCTCAGAGGCTGGAACGCAGGACCTGCCTGCCAGAAACCCAGGCGCAGGCCCAGCACTCTGTGGCCCCAGGACCACCAGAAGCAGCACCACTGATGTGACTGAAAAACTGAGAAAATCAACTTTTCTGTCTCCTGCCCCCTTCCTTCCGTGTCGCTTGACGTGGGCAATGATGGGGGTGTACACACAAACCCAACCAAGGGGTTCACTCTTAGTCGCGCTCACACATGCCCCCTTCTGGCCCAAGGGTCATACTCCTAGTCCAGGGGTTCGCACCTCTTGGCTGTGGGACCCCAAACAGCAGCCTGCCAGGGCAGTCCCACTCGGCCCCTCCACCTGCAGGCCCACCAGAGAACTCGGTCAGAGAGAGGAGAGCAATCATGCGCCCTGCGTCAGCAAGTGGCTGACTTGGCTCGATCCCCGCACCCCATCTAGTCCCCCGAGCCCTCCAGGAATGACTCCTAAGCAAACAAACCACCACCCAGTCAGTGAGGTCTAGGCTATGAGGAGAACAATTTGGGGAGGGAGAGTGGTGGAGGTGGGTCAAACGCCCGTGCCATGTGGTGCGGCCACGTGGCACTCATGACCCTGCTACAATGCCAAGTGAGGGTACGAGCACTGTACCTGCAGCGTGCAAGCCCTGAGTGTGGTGATGACGATGGGCACCACAGGCCGTGTGTGCATGAGGGTGTGAGTGCACGTGGGGACGCATATGCGTGTGTGCCTCCCACACACATTTGCAGCTGCCAGGGAGAATGGGACACGGAAGCACGCAGGGCGGGTGTGAGCTGTGCAGCCTCTTGGTCACCCCAAGCACAGCCACAGCACACACCAGGCAGAGTGGGGGAATCGGGCCTTTCCGCCATTCACCATCGGACCTGCCGACCACTACCCCGCATGGCAGGGCCGTCCCGCTAGAATGCACTGCAGGGGTGAGGAGCACCGGGCTCCAGGGTGCTGAAGCGCAGAGTGCGGGGCCCCTTTCGCACGGCCTTCCTGTAGCAGGTTTCCTGAGGGTCAGAGACAGTCACTCCCCATATGCTCTGCTAACTGGGTAGCAGGACTGAGCCAGACACAGATGGCACCGGGGTGGCACCTGGACAGTCACACGGACTTAACTAGATGTGCCCTAACTGTCCCATGGTGGGAGTGTGGCTGGCGCACGAACATGCCCTGTGAAGCTGCTGCTGAGAAACAGCGGCCTAGCCTGAGCACGGGCCTGCTCCAGGGTACGAGCAAGTCCTCAGGTCCCGGCAGTCCGCAGGTGCAGTTCAAGCTAGCCCTCCTCTCAGGCAGCCAGCAGGACAGTCTCTGGGTGTAGCGACAGGGCGCTCGCCTCACATGCTGCTGACCGGGTTCCATCCCCCTTGTGGCTCTGGCCCCCCACGCATGAGCCCCACCATGAGCGAGCGGGCCCCCAAACCACAGAAACCACAGTCTTCGCCTCCATGTTACCTAGGTCCACCCCCCAAAACCAGCAACACCAAACCCAAGACCAGTGTCCTAACCAGGCACCAGGTCTGCGACAAGCTCCTTCTGCAAAGTTGTTGGCATGGAGAGTCTGTCAGGGGGAGTCAGGGGCCAAGACGCCAACCACACCACAGGCCCACTGACACCCCAAGAGGCCATGCGAAGACTTGGGCTCAGGTCAGCTGCCCCCAGGGCCGCGGGAGCCCCACATGCTGCCAGCCAGCCTCATCCGGGGAGCTCTGGGGGGAACTGGAGCCCAGGTCAGGCTGCCAGAGCCACAGGGCATCTCCCGAGAGCAGGCCAAACCCGTCTCCGGCTGACCGCAGAAACTCAGAGAGACAGTCAAGAGGGTGGCGAACTGGGCCCTTGTTCCAGGAGCCATGGCTCTGCAGGCCACCACACCTGGGCTGTACGGACACCGTGTGACCCCCCACACCAGGGAGTGCCGTACACATACCACGTGAACCCACGTCAGGGAGTGCTGTGCACATACCGTGTGACCCTTCTCACTCTGTGACCCTGTGTCTGATTTTCCCTCCACACCGGCCCGCTCACTCTCACCTTCCTCACTACAGCCTCCACCTGAAGTCGGACTCTCATGGGCCTGCATCCCGACCCAAGAGCACGAAAGGCAAAAAGGCAATGCTGCTTCCCAGAAGAGAGGGATGGGCAGCTCTGGCAAGCTCACAGGGGCTTGCGGCTGTGCTCAACTAGTGGCACTATCAGCCAGGCAACATAGCTGGCACCAGGAAACAGGTTAACCTAAAATATTCCTGCTTTTTAGTCAAGAACAAAGATTTGCACATGCCTGACCCAGGTTCAATCCCTGGAATCACTCCTGGTCCCTGAGCCCGAAGCATCGCCTGGTGTGTGTCCCCCACCACCAAAGAGGCGGGAGAGAGAGAGAGGAGAGAGGAGGGGAGAAAGAGAAAGAGGGAGAGAGGGAAGGGGGAGAGGGAGGAGGAGGGAGGAAGAGAGGGGAGAGATGGAGAAAGGGAAAAGAAGAGAGAGAAGAGAAAGGAGAGGGAGAGAGAGGGGAGGAGAGAGGGAGGATGGAGAGAGGATAGAAAGATGAGTTTGTACCCCGTCTTGGGGTGCAGTGCCTGCACTAGGCCCTTGGTCTGGGCATGTCCCGGCAGAGATGCCCAGCTGCCTGCACCGCCAGACCCCAGTGGCCAGAAGACGGGGCCCAGGAGTGGCCTCCCCACACAGCCACAGTGCCCACAATACTGTGCTCAGGACACCCGATTTAACTCTTCAAAAAAAAAGATACCCACGCCCGGATGTGGCCCACACTGACAGGAGGATTTAACAGTCTCCAGAGGGGAGTACCTGCATGAGCACACCTGGAGAGTCAGGGGCTGCCTGTGGTTCTGTGCTCAGGAGTGACCTGGCGCTCACAGAACCAGGTGTCGGGAGCTTGAAAGGGGCTGAGATGCCCCCATAACGACCAGTGCTCTATCTCTGCCACTTTTTCTGGCAAGAGGAAATCACTCATGCATGCCACAGTGAGAACTATTGTGTAGGGATGCACAAGGCCCTGAGCTGTCAGTGGGGGTCCCCCGCACAGCACCAGGCCAAGTTCACAGCGCCCCTACACTGGCCGATTAAAAAGACAAATGTATAGTTTTAAAGAAATACCATCAACTCTCCTCATAACGAAAATAAAATTGGTTCTTTGAAAAATTTCAGTAAATAATCCCCTAAAGTAACTTCAAATATTCAATATATCTGACTGAGAGTCACTACTTTTCCATTTGTCTTGACTCTCCTTGAACTAGGAACTCTTAATTCAGGGATGGGGTGGTAGTGTTTTTGTCAGGGGTGGGTGGTCACACTCAGTGCAGTCCTCAGGAGCTACTTGTGGCTCAGGGGTTGGTCCCGGTGCAGCTTGAAGGGCCCGTGCAATGCCAGGGGTCAAACAGCACAGCCTAGGCTGCGCACATCAAGTATTTCTGCAGTCCTGGGATGGGCCCTTTGAAACATAAAAGTGACTATCAAAGGGCACCAAGCAGATAATCCCCACGGTAAATGTAGTCCAAGTATCTGACCAGACCCAAAGCCATCAAAGTAGCTATGATCCAGAATGCCCCAGGGGGAGGCCTGGTGGTGGAGGAGCCCACACGCGTGCGGAACCACAGGCCGATGCTGGCAGCTGTCTGGGATCCCCTCACCACCACCGATTTCCAGCTGTACCCCAAAAACACAGCTCGCGGGGCGCCTGCTGTTGAGGCATGTCCCCGCGTGCCGTGACAGTGCCAGAGGGCTCGTGTAGCCCCTGCAGGGAGCACCACAGCCCCCAAATGGGCCATCCCCACAGGCCAAAGTGCAAGCAGCCCCCACAGCCACAGGAGGGGGACTCCAGTGAGCACCTGCCGCGTGTGGGAGATCCCGCCCTCATGCCGCCACCAAGGGGAGGCACAGCAGTCTGTCAGCTTGTGCCTGGCCAGAAACGACACTGGACCCACCTTCTTCTCCCTCATGCTGTCGGCCTGCAGCGTCTCCAGCTGGGCCTTAAAGTGCTGGCAGTCCATCCTCAGTTGCTCTAACTCTTGCTCTCTCCTTTCCAGCTCTACAAGAAAGGGGCACAGCACTCAGTACTCTGCCCCCTTCGCATGCTCCCCAGTACCTGGCCTGCTCCTCAGTGGGGTCATGGGTATCAGGGGACACCTGGGTTCTGCTGTTCACGGGGACCCTGGCACTCTAGGTTTTAGGGGAGGTGCTGTTTAGAGGTAAGGTTCAGACTTGTCTCTGCTCCAGAAAAAGCAGGCGGCAGCCCTGGAGGAGATGAGGCCAACAGGCTGACTCAACAGGACAGCTGCGGCAGGCACCCCTGGGACAAGCAGGGGCCAGGAGAAGATGGGGCGGGGACACTTCCTCTGCGCCAGTGCTCGGTGATTCAAAGGCTAACAGAAATCCCAGAGTCCCGCGTGCGTGTGTCTTAAAGAAACAGCAACTGACAGAAAAAGATTATGCCAAGCCCCCCACCCCCACTACTGGAATTCACAAGGCACGGGAACGTTAACCGAGAATGTTCTGGACCTTGGTTTCAGGCTGACCCCTCTGGTTTTTACCTACAGATACCCAACATGAGGGCTGCCACGCTTAGAGCAGCCTCTCAAAAATGGGGACAAAGGCACTGGGGGAACTAATGACTTCTACTGAATACTCTCAGGGTGCAAGGCCTAACTGGCACAGCAGGGGCTACTCTGGGCCGCTAACTCTCCCCCCAGAAGTTGGCGTCAGTGAAGTAGCCGCTTCCCAGGCCAACGTGGTCTCTGCACTGAAGCGGATGGCGTGCGTGTATTCCAGGCACTGCTTAGCTCATGCATGAGGTCTGTATGGAAGATGGTCACCAGGGAAGGAGAAAATAAGGAGCTGAGGCAATGATTTGTGGTATAAAATTTCTTTGCTGTTAGCGTCAATCTTTCACCTCCTGGCAAACTGTAAGATCAGGCACAGTAAAGAGAAAATGAGTCTAAACTATGCGGAATGTTCTGGCCACGCCTTCACAGCGTGTGTCTCAGAATCTCACCCACTGCAGGGGGGGTGGGGGGGAGGCAGCAGCGTGTGGCTGATCTAACAAAGGGACAGGCCTGTCCGCAGCAGGGAGCTACCACAGGCCAGGTGAGGGGGACGCTGGTGGAGGTGGACACTCTGGTGGAGGACGTGGAATGCTTTGTGTATAAGACCTTGCAAGTAACAATTTTGTAAGCCACAGTCCTAAAATAAAATTAAAAAAACTCAAACACCAAAGTCAGCCTCAGGGCTGCCGGGCTGGCTCCCGTCTGCTGTAGGAGCCCGCCACCTAGCGTCCAGATCGGGTACTGCAGGGGCACCCTCGCCCACACAGCCGGGTGGCGGGGAGTCTTTTGTTTCCTGCCAGTAGGATGCCTGCAACAGCATAGGGCAGAGTGGCACTTCATGGGAATCAATCCCGTGACCATCTCAGCCTCTTGCCATCCCCCGGAGAGAAGCATGTGGCTTCCCATTAGCAGAGGAGGCTGCATCCAGCCTGGCAGCAGGACAGAAAGGGCAGCGTGTCCCTTGCTGCTCCCACCTCCTCACTCCTCTCCTCCGTCCTGACAGCTGCTCACTGGGCTGCCAGGGTGGCCCACACCGCCTCCGTTTCCGGTGAGGACCTGGCTCCCTTCTCTTCCCACAGGAGAGCACGAAGGCAGGGTTCACTGAGTCAGCAAGTGGGGGCCCTCGAGCCGAGATGCCGGAAGAGGCTCAAAACACCGCTGCGGGAACTACAGGCTGGAGTACAGGCGGATGAATAATGTTGAAAGCCTGGTGAATGTGTGTGTGTGTGTGTGTGTGTGTGTGTGTGTGTGACCATGGAGACCTATGAAATTCAGCACCAGAGTGATAGCACAGCAGGTGGGGTGCCTGCCTTTCACCTGGCTGGCTGCGGTTTGCTCCAGGGCACCCCATATGGTCTCCCAAGCTCAACGGGTATGCCCCTCCAAAAAAAATCTATAAAACTCGTTCTGGTTGTCACTGTAGAAAATTAGTTTGTATCACTTATATAACCACATATGTGGGGGGAAATGGCTTAATCTCATTTCAACTATAATCAGTTTCTGGGCAGATAGTATGGGGGTGGGGGTTTAAGAACTTGCCTTACATACAGCTGTCCCTGGCTCAACCCCCCGCCAGGAGTGTGCCCTGAGCAGCACTGGTTGTGACCCAAACACCCCCTCAAAAAGAAAAATCAATCTATTTCTAAGGCTCTATCCATGACATTGAAGATTTACTGTAGAGAAACAATCTCATTCATGGTCTTTTCAACATCTATACAGTGTCAGAAATTATAATGCTTCGTAAGATTTTCAAATAACAAAATATAAAACAATATATAACAAAATATATATTTTTTGCTTCTTGGTCACACCCAGCGATGCACAGGGGTTACTCCTGGCTTATGCACTCGAGTATTACTCCTGGCAGTGCTCGGGGGACCATATGGGATGTTGGGAATTGAACCTGGGTCAGCCACATTCAAGGCAAACAACCTACCCACTGTGTTATCACTCCAGCCCCCTCTCAGCTGTATTTTCTAAAAATCTGTTTTGTGATCACACTCAGGGTGCTCACAGGACTGTATGGTGCCAGGGACTGAACCTGGGGCTCCCAGATGTAAAGCCTGTGCTTTGGGCTCTGCTCCACGCTCCCCTGTCCCCAGGCTGGGGAGCCCAATGGGGGACATGGCACCGACTCCAGGCGGCATACATAGAACAGCAGCTAGCAGGGGAGAACTTGAGAAGCTGGTACTGTAACACACAGCGGAGAAACAGAAACTTCCCAACGGGTTCGAGCTCTCTTCCCCTTTAATGACTTGGCAAGCTAAGAAAAAATTATCAGTTTGTTACGAGAGATTTGGTTCTGATCAAAATAGCCACAGAAGCCTCTCAAATCTGACGGCATCGCTGCCTAAACAGACTGGGAGTTTGGAATGAGACACAGCGCTGGCCCCTCTCCATCCAGCAACAGGACCTGGAGCGCCGAGGTCAGCACCCAGGGCTGTCCCAGTGAGAGAGGCCACTGGCTCAGCAAGCCCCACCTTCTCTGCATTCTACAGTGAGAGGGTGGTGGGCCAAAACCTGAGAGGCCACACTTCCCGCCTCTGCCTGCACAGGGAGCCTGTGGCCCTTGGTCAGTGAGCGCAGATTCTATCTCCTCCCTGGGCCTCCGGCTCTGTCCCTCCCCACCATCCTTCTGCACGCATGTGCCCGTCTGAATCACTCCTTTCTACCAGGACACCAGCCACACCAAATTAGGACCCACCTCAACCTCATTTTAACTTAATTGCTTCCTTCCTTGGTGCCAGGGGCAGCCTGCCAAAATCAGAAGCAGTAAGAGTGAAAGGGAGGATATCCCAAGATTCGATTTTGGGGGGGCCCGGGGGGGGTAGTTTAAATGCATCTGACATCCTAGTGCCATTCTAAGGCAGCCAAAAGAAAAAACTTTAACTGTCAAATGTTTTACACAAACCAAAGGAAGGAGTAGGGGAACTTGGAGGCCAACATGAGCACATTTTTCCTGCACTGCCAAAAATCTGCTTCCCAAACCATAGCTTCCTGAGCCCACATGGTCTCCTCGCCTCCTGTAGCGCGTGGCCTGCAACGGGTCCGCGCTGCACTGCCAATACATGGGCCCCTCTGGCCAGCAACGGGCCCACACTGCACCACCAATGCATGGGTGCCTCTGGCCTGCAATGGGCCCGCTGCAGTGCCAATGCATGGGCCGCTCTCAGGCCACACCTGCGCCGGCCCAGTGGGCAGCACCTTCATTCAGCGTTGTGAGCATTTTTTTTTTTTGAGGAAGGGCTTCACCAAGCAATGCTCAGGGGTTCCTCCTGGCTCTGCATTCAGGAATTTACTCCTGGTGGTGCTTGGGGGACCACATGGGATGATGGGGATCGAACGCAGGTCGGCTGCGTGCAAGGCAAACGCCCTCTCTGCTGTGCTATGACTCCAGCCCCTGTGTGAGCTCTTGAGAGAAGTATCCGCGCCTGCTGCAACCCGACTCACTTCAGCAGCAACGAGGAAAGCGTCATGAGCCTCTAATGAGCCCCTGAAGTCAGGGCTTCCCTGGGCTCGCAGCTGAACTTGGCTCCCTGCACTCTGCCAACATCCAAAAACACACAGAGACCCCCCCAAAAAAAAAACACAGTAACTCACTCACTGGAGACTGTGCCCAAGCAGTAATGAGAGAAGAGGGTGGGGAGCACTCTGTTTAACAAAGTGCTCCCAAGCTCATCCCGTAAGCCTGAGTGTGCCTGCTCTCCCGGAGGAGGAGGGCCAGACCCGAACGCCAGTGCAGGGCGGCAGAGCAGGCAGTGGGGCCAGCCAGGAGGCGGCACCCGCGCTGCGTGCCCACCACCCTCCAAACATCTCACCACCTCAGGAAAGCCTCGCCGACCCCGGTGTGCAGAAACAGAGAGGGGGCCATCCTTGGGAGTTGAGTACACACGGCCCCTGGGGTCCCTGCTCCCCCACAGCTGTTTCTTCCACACCCGTCCCGTGACATTCAAGTCCCTCTCCCTCTTCCACCTGATTCCTCACCTATTCGAAGATACTGTGGAGGACAGGGAGGGGGGCACCCCTGAAGTTTACCACTACTTAGAAGTCATTTCTATATGGTATTTTCCAAATGTTTCTCATTCAACTATAAAAATTGTCTGACACTGAGCCGGAGCAATAGTACAGTGGGGAGGGTGATTACTATGCACGCGGCCAACCTGGGTTTGATCCCCAGCACCCCATATGATGCCAAGCCCTGCCAGCTGTGATTCATAAGCCCTGAGCATCTCCAAGTGTGGCCCCAAACAACCCCCCCCCCCCCGACATCAGTCCTCAGCACTGAGCTCATCCATTTCTCCCTGCAACTTGCTCAGGTACAGGCTGGGTTCTGTGTGATTTGGTACCTGTGCAGGTTTGTGCATCTCCACCAGCACCATCGAGTACAGGCCCCACAGCTGTCCTTGTCCTTTCATAGCCCAACTGACCTCAAGCCTGCAGCTCTCACTGATGCCAAAGAGCTGAGACTGACCACTTCTATGGTCCATCATCCCAAACGCTGAAGCAGAACCAGACAGGACAGTGGGAGAGAAATAGCACTGTGTGATCACTGTGTGGACAGGGCACCCTCCTCGGACCCCATCCTGTGGTCAGCATCAAAGCTAGTGGGCGCCCCTGCAACGGTCCCCTCACTCCCGGGTGAAGGCCTGTGGGCCACCACTCTGGCTCCTTCCCCCTGAGCTGGTCATGTCAGCCAGAGCCACGGGCAGTGCCATGCCCCCCCGGCCTCCACCCGCCCCATCCTCCCCCAGGTCGCAAGGAGGCCCCATTCCTACTTGGGGACAACACACCAACACCTGACTTGAGGAAAGGCACATCAAAGCCGAGGCCATCCAACCCCCTCCCCAAAGAAACCAGGCTGAGTCAGGGCCGTGGCCCTCCCTGCCTGCAAGAATCCTTGGTATTGCATGGGGGAGGATGTACCGATCCCCCAAGTGAGACACCAGGGACAGCCAGTCAAGCTCAAGGATTCTGTCTGAGGATGAGCACCAGGGCAGACCCATCTCGGTGAGGAAGAAAGGACCTTCGTCGAATCAAAGAACCTTTCAATGTGGAAATAACCCAAATGTCCAATGACAAATAGATGCTAATAAAATTATGGTACAGATTGGAGAGATGGTACAGCACGGAAGGCACTTGCTTTGAACACAACTGACCTAGGTTTGATGCCCGCCACCGCATATAGTCCCTTGAGCCCTCCAGGACTGTTCCCTGAGTGCAGAGCCAGGAGTAAGCCCTGAGCACTGTTGGTTGTGCCCCCTAAAAAAAAAGTTGTGGTGTATTTACACAATGGAAAACAATGCAGTAGTAAAAAGGCCAAATCAAGCATTTTGCTACCACTCCATTGATAGAACTAGAAGGGACCATGCTAAGGAGTGAAGTCAGTGAGGAGGAAAAGCAGAAACGCAGAGCCAGCTCTCTCATATGTGGAACATACACCCAATGAAAGAGCGAAAGGCCAACAGCAACAGAAATGAAGAGAAATTCCACAGAAGCAAGTCAGCGCAGGAGAGGGATAGGAAGGACCATCAGCACATTACTGGAGGAAGAGGGGACTCTGGCAGGGGTGTGGGGGCCGGAAGGGTGTAGGCGTGAAGCTATCAATAACAGTATATAAACCACAGCACCTCCATAAAAGAATTATAAGAGCAATGACCCAGCACCATGTGTCCAAAACACATGACAGGAGCCAGAAGTGATAGAACAATGGCTAGGGCGCTTGCCTTGCATACAGCTGACCTGAGTTCAATCCTAGCACCCCATATGGTCACCAAGCACCACCAGGAATGCTTCCTGAGCTCAGAGTCAGGAATCAGTCACACCTGAGCATTACCAGGTATGACCCAAAGACTAAAACAAAAGGAAATTCCCCCCCCCAAAAAAAAAACAAAAAAGATGATACCGCTGAATCTTCCCAGGTAGGCTGGTCCGGGATGACAACTCTGGGGCCTTCTCAGAATGGGGCAGCCAGGGGCTGGAGTGATAGCATAGCGGGTAGGGTGTTTGCCTTGCACACGACCGACCTGGGTTCGATTCCCAGCATCTCATATGGTCCCCCGGGCACCGTCAGGGGTAATTCCTGAGTGCATGAGCCAGGAGTAACCCCTGTGCATTGCTGGTGTGACCCAAAAAGAAAGAAAAAAAAAAGAATGGGGCAACCAGATTACTCTTTGTGTCTGGAGGCAGAGCAAAGCCTTCAATCATACCCAGCACCCTCTGACAAAAACGGCCTGCTCCGCTCCACACGTGAATCTCATCGAACTGCCAAGCCACCAACCTGTTTCAGATCTACAGCTCCTAAAGAACACAGTCAACAACTCTAAATTTCAGTCCTGTCAGCTCAGTAGGGTCCCAGCAAACCTGATGGGAGAAAGCTGCCCAGAAGCCCACCAGGCTCGAGGAGCCTCAGCAGGCACACACAAGGCTCAGCCAGCTCCAACCGGCACAGCAGAGCCTCAGGCGATGACATCAGTTACACCATTGTGAGATGCAAGGATGATCACAGATTGCCTACTATGATCTAAGGGTTGATAATCCCCTTTGCCTTTTTGTTGTAACAGACCATATGGAGTAAATCTGATTGTGCCTGCCAGGAGGCAGGCTGAAGTGGTGGGTGGGAAACGGAGGACACTGGTGGAGGGAAGGGCACACTGGTCGTGGGGCTGATAGTGGGATTAGTGTTGGAACATTCAAGGCCTGAAACAACCACATTCGGAACAAATTGGTAAATCACCGTGTTTCCATTAAAAAAATTTGAAAATATGATAAAACAGTAGGGGGAAAGTTAAATATTAGGGGAAAGTAAGCATTTTAAGCTTAAAAAGTCTCTTACGCTATGGTACAGTAGAACTGAGGAGTGGAATGGCTGAGTTCTAGTGTGCTGGTCTCCTTCATCTTAATACCAGAGAGAAGCCACTGAAGACATCAGCAGGGAGATGACACGATCAAACTCAACTGTTAGAATTTGGGCACTGAATGCAGCCAGTCCTATCTTGATCCCCAAGCACAGCCTAAGGTAACCAGCCCAAGTATTGTCAGGTGCGGTCCAACTTTGCCGGTAAATTGCTAAAAATCACCCAACCTACAGTGTACAGTGGATTGTGGGGGGCAGCTGCAAGGAGGCAGGTTTGGGTCAAACTAGGAGCCCGAAGAGGTTATGCAGGATGCATGGCAGGAAACGCATCTCCTAGCAGACAGCTGGGGGGTGGGGGTGGGAGGAGGGGGGAGAGGGGCAACAGAGGGTCCCAGAGATCGAGTGGGGAGTCAGTGCCAGGGAAAAAGGAACCCCTCCGGCCCGGGCAAGGCAGAGCCACAGGGACCACCAGACAACACAGAGCAGCTAGCTCTGAGAAGCAAAAACTCGTCCTACGACTAGGCTGGGTACCAGCTGCCCAGAGCCAGGTGCCAAGGTAACAGGAAGCAGCGTGTCCACAGACACCACAGCTGAGCAGTGCAGAACAGCCCTCCTTTCAGCAGCTGTGCTCCCTCGCTCCGTAAAGCCCAAGCCGTAGCTACTGAGTTAATGAAACCTGCTCACTAAGTCACTGCAGGTCAGAGCAGCAGCTTTCTAGACAGTTCCACAGATAGCTGTGGAAGCAGACCAAGGTTCACCTGGATGAACTGAGTGAGCAGTGAGGCACGGAACCCGTGAACAGTCACTGGGATAAACTGAGTGAGCACTGAGCCTGTAAATAGTCATCGGGATGAACTGACAGAGCACTGAGCCCGTGAACGGTCACCGGGATGAACTGAGTCTGCAGTGAGGCACTGAGCCTATGGACGGTCACCAGGATAAACTGAGTGAGCAGTGAGCCTATAAGCAGTCACTGGGATGAACTGACCGAGCACTGAGCCCGTGAACGGTCACTGGGATAAACTGAGTCTGCAGTGAGGCACTGAGCCTATGAACGGTCACCAGGATGAACTGAGTGAGCAGTGAGCCTATAAACAGTCACCGGGATGAACAGACTGAGCACTGAGCCTGTGAACGGTCACTGGGATAAACTGAGTCCGCAGTGAGGCACTGAGCCTATGAACGGTCACCAGGATGAACTGAGTGAGCAGTGAGGCACGGAGCCCATGAACATTTACCGGGATGAACTGAGTGAACGCTGAGCTTGTGAACAGTCACCTGGATGAAATGAGTGAGCAGTGAACCTGTGAACAGTCACTGGGATGAACTGAGTGAGCACCGAGCCTGTGGTCACCAGGATAAACTGAGTGAGCACTGAGCCCATGAACAGTCACTGGGATGAACTGAGAGAGCACTGAGCCTGTGAATGGTCACCAGGATAAACTGAGTGAGCACTGAGCCCGTGAACAGTCACTGGGATGAACTGAGTGAGCACTGAGCCTGTGAATGGTCACCAGGATAAACTGAGTGAGCACTGAGCTTGTGAACGGTCACCGGAACGAACTGAGTGAGCACTGAGGCACTGAGCCCGTTAAAAGCCCTGCCTTGCTCAGAGCGCATTAAACCTTAGGGCACGGGAGCAGCAGAGCAACCGGGGCGCGTGTCCACTGTGACTCCCCTTTGACCCTGACCTCAGGCATGCCCAGGGGCGGGTAGCCGCCACTTGCAGGCCCCTGGGCTGGACCAACTGCTCTCCTGAGCAGGAGTCACCGGTGGGGCTAGGCATGCATGGGAGCGACCCCCAAAACAGAATCTAGCTGAGGGAGTGATTTCCAGATTGGGGGCCACTCCCGGCCCGGCTCTGTGCTCAGGGTCTCTTCTGGCAGGGTCAAGGTCACTCCCAGCGGATCTGGGGCTCACTCCTGGCTCGAGGTCATTCCCAGTGGGGTCGCGGTCACTCCTGGCAGGGTCGGGGTCACTCCCAGTGGTGTCGGGGTCATGCCCGGCTCCACCTCAGGGTCTCTCCCGGCAGGGTCGGGGTCACGCCCGGCTCTTGCTCAGGGTCACTCCCAGCGGGTTCGAGGTCACTCCCGGCGGGAGCGGGGTCTCTCCTGGCAGGGTCCAGGCCACGCCCGGTGGGGTCGGGGTCTCTCCCGGCTCCGTGCTAGAGGCCACTCCCGGGCACCGTCCGGGCGCGCAGTCCACTCACTCTCCTCCAGCGCCTGCAGCCGCCGCACCGTGTCCAGCACCTCGCCACTGAGCATGCGCGGCAGAAAGTCGCGGATCTGCATCACCTCCGTCGTCAGGCGCTCCAGGTCCTTCTTGCGCACCTTGACGAACTCCTCCCTGGTCCCCGCGGGCTGCGGCGGCGACAGGCCCGGGCAGGCGGGGGGCGTCAGGGCGCCAGGTGGGGGGTCCCGGGCCCCGCGAGGCCGCCCCCTGCCAGCCTCCATCTCACTGACCCGACGGGCCTCCTCAGCGTCGCCCGCCTCGCCCATGGCCGCTGACGCCGCGCTCCCTGCGCCTGCGCGACGCCCTTTGACCCCTGCAGGGCGGGCACGTGGCCCCGCGCGGTACGGGGAGCCGCGAGGCTCAAGGCCCGTCCCTCAGGCATGCAGGGCCCGCGGGCGAGGGGCTCCTGGCGCTGCGTCGCGCTCTCTAACGTTCTTCCTGCGAATCAGAGGGCAGACCCGGGCGGAGGGGCGCGGGGGGCTTGCGGGAAAGGGCCTCTCCTGCTGCGGTGCGGGGTGTCAGCCTCAGATTGCGGGGCCGGGTGGGGGCAAGCTCCGTGCCCGCAGGCTCCTCGGGGCACCTGGGCCTGGAGACAGTTCCGGCTGTAGGGCCTCGCCCTGGGAGGCCAGCGAGGCGCCTTAGCCGCGAGGTCCCAGCCCCGGGCCTGCAGCGATCGCACCCTGGCCGGGTGCCCTGCTCCCAGGCATCCGCCCCTGGGGCGGCCCAGCAGCGGGCACACGATCAGGAGCTCCGCGCCGGGCGCGCGGCCTGGCCCGACCTCGGCTAACCTCGCCGTCAACGGTTCCGGGCCGCGGCGCCCGGGCGGCAGCGGAGGCGCGAAGGCGCGACGCTCCGGGCCCGGCCCCGCCGCCTCCGCCCGCGCCGCCGCCGCCCAGCGCGCACGCGCACGCGCATCCCCGGCCGGCGCCTTTGTGACGCCATCAGCGCGCGCCGCAACCGTCGAGTGCGCAGGCGCGGCGGCGGAGCGGGCGCGGCGGCTGGGGATGCTGCGGGGGCTCCATGGGCCCCGCCATGCAGCCCGCCGAGCTGCAGTTCGCGCAGCGCCTGGCGTCGCACGAGAAGGGCATCCGGGACCGCGCGGCGAGGAGGCTGCGCCAGTACCTCAGCGCCAAGACCCAGAGGGAGACAGGTGGGCGCCACGTGCCGCCGCGGCCGCGCTGTGGGTTGGGGGCAGCGCACGTGCGCGGGGACCCGGGCCCGGGAAGCCCCGCCCGGCGCCCTCCGAGCCCCCGGGGAGCCCAGCCGGGGGCCTGACTTAAGGCCCTCGGGTGCGCACGCGGGCCGGGGCCCGCGTCCAGCTGGGTCCCCCTGGCGGCCCACCCCTCTCCTCCCCACCGCCCGCCTCTCTCGCTCTGGCTTTTGGCGCCCACGGGCGCACCCTGCTGTCCCCGAGTGACCTACCTGGCATTTACACCTCGTCCCCTTGCAGCCAGCTTGCCGGTTGGCCCCCTAAATCGCCTCTGATGTGGTCACTTGATGAACAGGGCAGGCCTGCAGCTAGAGTACACGGGCCCCTCCCGCACACCTCCCAGTGTCTGTTCATTCCAAAAGATACCCACTCCCAGCATCCAATTAAGCATCACTCCCCGCAAAATTGCCACCCTACCTACCCCCCAGGCCTGCCCTGGCCCCGCAGCCTGCCGGGTTCAAGAACAAGCGGCCTCCCTACCTGGTTGTTACCCAGCCTTCCCCCCTCTGGTCACTGGGAGCTGAAACTTACAGGCGGGGGGGGGGGGGGGGGGGGGAACCATCCCTGGCTGCATTCACAAGCAGGCAAGCAGATCCTGGACTGACCAGCAGACCCTTTGCTGATCTGCAGCCCAGAAGGTGCAGCGTGCACCCGTCCCTGCATCCTGCAGGTTGCCCAGGCTAGCACCCGTTATCCCTGATCTGGTACCTTAGCTCACCAGCACGTGGGCAGATGCTAGGGCTTCAGAGAGCATCACAGGCTGCCGTGCTCTGCTCGTCCCACAGGCTCCAGTCGTAGGCACATGGAGTGCAGGAGGCCTGCAGGCAGACTGGCCCCAGGTTCCTGCAGGGAGCCTTGTGGCTAGCTGAAACTGCAGCCGTTCTGGTATGTGGTCCCACCAGGAGGGCGCTGCTTGCTGTCCATCCTCTCCCCTTTCTGGTGCAGGGACTACAGCCACACCAAAGCCCCCCCCCCCCCCCCCCCCATCTAATGCATCTGGAAGCACTTTACAGCTACTCAAACCAACCTTGTGGCCTTTGTGTGATGATGGTGGGTGTGGTCCCACAGTGTGGCTGCTTCTCTCCAGCTGGTGTCTCCAGAGCCGTGGGTAGAGTGACATATGGTGGGCGTTTGGGCATCAGGGCGGGTGGTCTGATAGACTGCCACTCTGAAATGGGTCCTGTCTCCATTTCCTGCCGAGTGGCCGTTGGCTGTGCTCAGTCCCTGACTGACCGCAGCTCTGCTCCTCGCAGTCATGTATCCAGCCACTGTGAAGGACTGAGGCCTGACGGCTGGCGTCAGGAACTCATTGCCGTAAGAAACATGATGCCCTCCCCCCCCAATTCCCTGGCAGATGGAGAAGGAATGTGAGCCAAGGTGCTTCGGGCTCCAGGGAATCCCGAGGACCTTTCTCTGCCGTTGGAAGGTGGCAGGAACAGTGTTTTCTTACCAGCAAAAAGCAGGGATTTCTCTGCAGCTGTGAAAACTGAAAGCTTTAAAAGGGAAAGGTCAGCAGCCTGCAGTCAGCCTATCCGAACCTGGAGGCCAGAGCTTCCAGTTCCCTGAACTTGGCCCCAGTGGGTTCCTCTGCCGTGTGGCCTTGTGTCCACCTCCCACTCTAAGTCCACTGTCTAGCTCAGGCCCCGTTGTTTGGGTTAGAGTCAGTGGATGTTCCAAAATCCTCCGAAGCATGTTTGTCCCTTTGCCCGTGTGGGCGTGAGTGACCCCACGCTCTCTGGGCGCCTCCATGATTTCCGTACTCCACATTCCACACCCAGTCCTGCGTCCCCATTCACAGGACTTATGGGAGGGAAAGATCTGGAAAGACAATTCTCAGGCAACAGACAGGGAGTCAGGAGACGGAACAGCACCTGCAGCCGTGCAGCATGACCACCCGTGCGGGCCGTGACTGCCCTTTCTGCGCTGGTCACGGTTTGCTGTCTCAGACGCTAGTTTGGGGAATTTTTTTTGCAGGGGTGTTTGGCCTTGTTGCTTCCCATGCTGGGGGAGCACTTCCGGTGGAGCCCTGGGGACCACGTGTGGAACAAGGGCTCACATCGGGGTGGGCCATGTGCGGGGGGACACCTCCCTCATCGTGTGCTCCTTGGCTCACGGCTTTGGGAAGCAGATGGGGTGTCGTGAGTCACGTGCACTGCCACGTGTCTGGCTGTACCGTGACCCGTGAGCTCTGCAGGCAGCTCGGGCAGCAGAGTCGCACAGGAGCTTGGCTGGCAGCACGCTCCCCGCCTTGTTCCCCACGGGCAGGTGTCCAGGCAGCTCCTTGGGGTGTTCGGTGGATGGTGCCCCGCCTGCAGTGAGGTGCCGCAGGGGCCCTCAGGTCTGGCAGAAGGTGTTCCCGGGGGAGCCAGAGTGGTGGGGCCTCTCCTTCGGGGTGCTGGCTCCACTGAGGAGCTGCCCAAGGCTTTGTCCTTCACATCCCTCTCTGCTGTTCCTGTCGAGGGTCACGCTTTGGGGTTTTGTCTTTGGTTTGGGGGTCACACCCAGCGGTGCTCCAGGCCTTCTGCTCAGGGCGGCCCTACCACAAGCCCTCTTGGTTCTTGGTGTTGGGGGAGCCCCTATCCCCTTCCCTGCTGCAGTGAGCAGGGTTCGCGCACTTGGCTGTGATTCTTCCTGTGCTCAGGGCTCACTACATCAGCATGGGGAGTGCAGCAGGGTGCTGGGGTGGCCCCTGGGCACACGTGAGCATGTGGCCCCATACTTCTGCTCTGAGAGGACACTGGAGGCCGCTCCTCCCGCCTGACCCCAGAAGCGGACTGACTGATTGCCTGGCCCGTGTCAGCATCTGGCGGGCTCCCACTCTCCCTGGTCAGCTGCTGTTCCTGGGTGTCCTGTGAACACTCTCCCGCCGGTCACTCTTAAATGGTCTCGGGTCGGCGGAGGACTGACCCATGGGGATTCTGTGTTCTTCAGAGTCGCCTTGGGAGCCCCCATGTGGTTGTGGGGGCAGGGGCTGGTCCCCTCCTGGAGCGTGGGTGCCTGGGGGACTCAAGAGCAAGTGGGCATCGTGGGTGGAGAGAAGGGGCTGGGGACACGCGCCGAGAAGCGTCTCCCGCTGAGCCAAGCGCCTGCATGGCCTCGTCCTGGAGCTGCCCATGAGGTGACTGCCCCACAGCCCAGGGAAGCTGCCTGGAGGCTCACCTGCCCTCGAACCCGTGGCCGGGTGGACCTCATGTCAGACCAGGCCGCAGTGCAGGCTGGTGACTGGCGTGAGGACTCCCGGGGTGGCCGAGAGCAGCCTCATGAGCCTCGTGTTGGCCCTGATGGGCGCTCGTGGGCAGGTGTCTGAGAACCAGCTGTGCTGTGTGGGGGCTCCCTCAGTGTCCCCTTCCTCCTGCTGCGGGGGGGTGGGGAGGGCGGTGCCAAGGTGTCCATCAGAGGGAGGGGACCCAGGTGGTCAAACAGAACTGACTGAGACGGGCCCTGAGGTCGCTGTGGGGGTGTCCCGCAGGGAGACGGGATGACGGGCTGCTCTTCTCTCCGCAGGCGGGTTCACCCAGGAGGAGCTTCTCAGAATCTGGAAAGGGCTCTTCTACTGCATGTGGGTGCAGGACGAACCCCTCCTGCAGGTAAGGCCACCAGGGGGGGCAGGCTGGGCTGGCCTGGATGGGAGGGTATGACCTGTTGAGGCTGGCCACCAGGGAGAGGGCACTCGTCCAGGGAGACCGATTCTTGCTCAGTTCACCATGAAGGCCCAGAAATATGAGGTTGCTACTGCCTCCTGCCCCCAGGTCACTGTCCTGGACACTCAGGACAGAAGCCAACTGTCCTGGCCCAGCCGGGGGCTGCCCCACAGGTGCACAGCCACCTGCTGCCCCCTAGTGGCCGTGCTGGCGAGGCATCCAGGCCGCGGCTTATCCCCTGACGCAGCTGGGTGCCAGGCATGTGGCCAGCCTGGACACATCTCGCAGCCCAGGCCTGGCCACTAACTGGACGGGACCAGGTGGAGGTGGTGCAGCCATGCGCGTACATACCTCGCACCTCGCTTACACTCCCCGCCTGGGTGCCAGTGGGCATGTGTGGGTGGGTCTAGAGTGGGTCTGGGCGGGAGGCCCCGCGGCAAGGGGGAGAAGGCAGGTGGTCGGGGCACTGAGTGCCATGGGTGAGATGGGCCCAGCTGGGGTCAGGCAGCGCCCCACCACACGGCCCTGGGGTCCCCTCCATACTCAGCTCACGGCCAGCAGCATTCTGGCCCCAGAGCCCTGTGTCTACGGCTGGTCCCCTCGAGGCCAGCTTATGTCCTGAATAAGCAGAGGCACCACCCAGAGGCTGTGCACTGGGGCCGGGGCAGCGGGGTGGGGGGGGGATCCGCACTGGACAGAACTCGGACGCTTGGGGCTCAGGAGCGGGGAGTGTGGTCCTGGCCGCGCATCCCACGACGACCCCGTTTCTCCCCGCCCCGCAGGAGGAGCTCGCGGTCACTATGTCCCAGCTTGTCCACGTTGTTAACAACTCGGAGGCGCGTAAGTGCGGCCCAGCCTGGCTTGGGCGCCGTGTCTGCTCGGAACCCACCCTGTGCCCTCCAGTGTCCGTCCTGGGGCTCCTCATGGGCGCTCGCCTTGGGCGGGCCCAGAACACTGACCCTGCAGGGAAGGGCAGGGAGGGGCCTGCGCAGGACAGAGCCGCTTCCAGCCCCAAAGGAACTGCTTGGCGGACACCGGGCTGGGAGGGTTTGCTCCCACCCTCCCAGCAAAGGCGGCCCCGGGTGCTAGTGAGCCAGGGGTGCCGGAGCTGTGCAGGAGGAAGGAAGGCCCGAGCAGCCGGGCAGGAGCGAGCCCCGGCTAGAAAGCGCTGGCGGCCTGAGACTGAAGAGAAAACGGAGTGTGGCCCAGTTCCTGCCAGCACAGGACAGGGCAGGACCAGCTGCTGCCGGGACCAAGAAGCCCACGCACCTGTCCAGAGGAGCCCTTCCCTTGGCCAGACCTTCCCGCCACCTCGGGGAAGCATCGAGACGGCCTCGCTTGTTTCTCTGGCGCTGCCCGGCCCTGCTCTGTCTGTCTGTCCGTCTGTCTGGAGGCGGTGTGCTCACCGCCTCTCTTCCCTGCAGAGCACCTCCTTATCCGGACCTTCTGGCAAACCCTGAACCGCGAATGGAAGGGAGTGGACCGCCTGCGCCTGGACAAGTACCACATGGTACCGGCCGAGGAGGGCAGAGGGCACTGGGCAGTCCTGCAGACGGGTGGGTGGTCCCAGGGCACGCTGTGCAGACAGGCAGGGGTCCTGGGCGCAGCCTCACCCTGAGCTGCACCCACCTTGTCCCCAGCCCGCCAAGCTGATAGGCACTCCTGCCTCGTTTTCTGTTCCTCTAGCTCATCCGGCTAACCCTTAGGCAGTCCTTCGAAGTCCTGAAGCGGAACAGCTGGGAAGAAAGGTGCGTCTGGCCTGGCTTAGGCCTCCACATCTGTCTGTCCCGCATCTGTCCCCGGCCTGTGGCCTGATCCTGGGCCGCCCCTCACGGCACCCTTTGTGTTCACTGCAGCCGGATCCGGCCGCTCCTGGACATCCTGATGAAGGAGGTCCTGCACCCCGAGAGCCGCTCTCCCGGCGGGGTGAGGTCCCACCTGATCGCCGTGTACCTGGAGGAGCTGTCCAAGGTCGGGGGGAGCGAGGTAAGCACGCACAAACAGCCACGCTTGCCAGGGGGTCGGGGAAGCGGGGGGCAGGGGGGCGCGTGGACAGGCAAGGGCACCCACGGGCGCTGTCCCGCGTGCTCTCCAGCCAGCCCGGCCCCTGGGGCTTCCTGCGGGGGGGGGCTGTGCTGCTCCCGACGCCCACAGACGGGAAGGCTTTCCTCACTCCCCTAGCTTCTGGCGGATCAGAACCTCAAGTTTATTGATCCGTTCTGCAAAATTGCCGCCAAGACGAAAGAGTGAGTGTGGGCCCCTCCCCCCTCAGTGTAGCCGGGTGCCCCCTCCCTGGGGACCGCAGAGGGGGGAGCGCTGGCCCTGTCCCTCGGCTGCCGGAAGTCTCGGCCCTGTCCCCTGCAGCCACACCTTGGTGCAGACCATCGCCCGGGGCGTATTCGAGGCCATCGCTCACCGGTCCCCTTTAGCACTGGACACCAGCGCCGAGGACCACGGTGCCAGGGCGGGGGGCGGTCCCCGCTCCGGAGAGGAGCCAGCCGCCTGCGAGGGGCCTCCAGCCGCAGCAGCCAGTAAGACGGGGACGGGGGAGGCCTGGCTGTGGCGGGGCGTGGGGGACGGGGAGACCTGGCTGGGGGCTGGTAGTAAGGGGACAGGGGGAGCCCCGGGACACCTAGTTTGGGCCTGTGAACATGCCCAGCCTCTTCTGTAGCTGGGCAGGCGGAAGGGCCAGGCTACACACATGCTTTGAGCCTGGGCCCAGGTTCCTTCCCCTGAGCAGGACCAAATATGTCCAAAAAAACCCAAAAGGGGTAAAGTTTGAAAGATCAGCTGTACGATGTTTCACCAGCCCCACCTCTCCCTCCGGCCAGGCCCTGCAGTGGGCGTGGTCCCCCTCAGCCCCGGTGCGGGATCAGGGACCTTGTGACAGTGGTGACCGGCAGCCGGCGGTTCCCCGTGTCTGGGAGCTGGCGCCCCGGCAGCCGTCTGTGTGGAGGCTCGTTCCCTCCGCACCCACAGGCCTGTGAGTCTCAGCCCTGCGTGTTCTCCCGTCCCAGGCAAGGGTCTCCCTCAGACCGGCGGGACTGCCGAGGACAGAGATGGAGACGGTGGCCTGGAGGCCACAGGGCCGCCTCTGCAGGTCAGTGGCCGCGAGTGCTAGTGAGGACACCACACCGCGGGCTGGAGCTGCGTCCCCGTGCTCTCTGTGCCATGTGGCTTTTCACCCCAGTCCCCAGATAAGGCGCCAAGAGGCGTCCCGGCCCTGCTATTTGGGGGCACCAGGGCTTGGGCTCAGGTGCTCTCTCTGCCCTGCAGTTCGACTACAAGGCAGTCGCCGACCGGCTCCTAGAAATGACCAGCAGGAAGAACACCCCTCCCTTCAACAGGAAGCGCCTCTCCAGGCTCGCCAAGAAGTGAGTATGTGGAGAAGACCCTCACAGGCGCCCCTAAGACAGAGGCCTTTGCTGCACCCCCTGGACCCCTGAAGCTGCCTCTGTGCCATATCCTCAGTCTGCCACTTGGTGGGGCGGCACAGCAAGCATAGGCACAGGCATCTGTCCACCCGTCAGCCGTGAGTTCAGTCAGGGTGGGCAGGAGTTCCCCATGAAGGACTGAGGATGTGGGTTTCTTCAACTCCATATGGCCATTGTACCCAGATAGAACATTGGCCACATGTGTCCCCAGCTGCCTGGGTCATGGGCACCCAGTCAGTCCCCTTCAGGATCACAACCACCCCAGTATACGCAGACTCACACACGTGTGTGCATGTGCACATATATACAGATATACACAGCCCAGGCAGTCCCTGTGTTGGCTGGCCTCCGTCAGGCTTCCCGGCAGGGTTGTACGGGACAGGCAGGGTCCGTTAAGGATGCCCTTGCTTCTTTTCCAGGTTCCGGGACCTTTGTGAAGGTGAGGCCATTCGGAGGGCTGAGCAGGGGGGAGCCGGAGATGGGTGTCTGCAGGTGTGGACGGCCCAAAGGGAGGCTCCTAGGAGCCGCGTGGCCACTGGGCACTCGTCCTGCCTGAGCAGTGGAGAGTCCCGGGGCTGCAGGCTGAGGGCAGGGCGGGAGGACACTTTCACCCCGGTGCCCAGGGTCCCCTAAGCAGACCCCAAACTGTGCCTGGCGACGCCGCCGGGACTGACAAGTGACCCCGGCAGGCAGTGTCGCCCCTGGGAGCCTGGCCGAGGATGGTCCTGCTAATGGGGACGACCCAGGCCTTCGTGAAGGACAGCAGGTGGACAGAGGAGAGAAGCAGGAGGGGACGGGCAGCGGGGACGCAGGAGGTGAGTGGCGCCCCACGGGAGGCGCGGGGGTGCAGGCGGCTCGCTCCTCCCTGAGCCGCCCGTCCCTTTGCAGCAGGTGCGCCCCCAACTGCCAAGGAGGAGCCGGGAAGAGGCCCCCCGAGGAAGAAGAGGAGGAAGAGGAAGAGGAGGAGCCTCCAGCCTGAGAGCGGGTCCGGGGAGACGGCGGTGGGGGGGGAGCTCCCCCTGCACGATGGGGCCGAGGAACCCAGCACGGGGCCTGGCGGGGCCCAGAAGAGATGCGGGGAGGAGCCGCCCCCCGTCCGCGTGAAGAGGAAACGACTGCGGAAGAGGGGCCTGCAGGCTGTGGGGGAGCACTCCGGGACCCCTGGGGACGTGACACCCAGCAGCACCCCTCAGGCAGAGGGCGCCCAGGTCCCCAGAAGGAAGCGGAGACTCGGGGCCCTCCCAGCCAGTGGTCACAATCTCTCCGCCTCACCTCAGTCCCGCCCTGCTGGGAGCCCCCCAGGCAACAGTGAGGCACAGGGCTCCCCGCCACAGGGCAACAGTGTCGCACAGACACCCCCACCACGGGATGACAGCATCGTGCAGAGACCCCCACCGCAGGGTGACAGTGTCACGCAGAGACCCCCGCCGCAGGGTGACAGCGATGCACAGAGACCCCCGCTGCAGGGTGGGAAGATGAAGAGGAAGAAGAAGCGGGAGCCAGGCGCCCTCAACCTGCACAGCCCATCCTGCCCCAGACCCGCCAGCCTGGCCAAGAGGAAGCTCGTGACAGCCACACTTGAGTCCTGGCCACTTGCAGCTGTGCCCAGACAGCAGGGCCCCGTAGTCCTGTCTCTGGTAAGGACCCTCGGTCCTGGCACGGCCTTTCCGCGTGGACCCGGCCCAGGGGTGCTCGCTCCCTCAAGCGTGGTCGGGGCCTGACAGGGTGGTGACTACTGGTCTCACTGTCTGCACACGCCACCAAGTGCCTACAACGGACAGCACCTGGGTGGGTGTCTAGTGCCAGGTCTGGCCACTTCAGGCTGCCTCCCCGAATGCCTGAATTCCTGCAGCCCCAGCTTGGTCGCCAGGCCGGGCCTCAGTTTCTCAGCCCCTCACTGTGTCAGTCTCTCAGATCTCTGCCTCAATCTCAGTCCCTCACTCTGTCCCCCGGTTCCTCAGTATCTCACTGTCTGCCTTAGCCCCTCACTGTCTTAGTTCCTCTCTGTCTCCCTCAGCCCCTCACTGTCTCTGAGTCCCACGGTCTCTGAGTCCCTGCTGAGCAAGGCGCCGTTTCACCCCAGGTGGCAGCGCAGTGCCTTCCTGTGTCCGTCCCTGCTGGCTGCCGTGCGCAGGGTTTGAGTTGCCGGCAGGCCTCGGCTGGGGGTCCCTGTAGGCTGTTGCAGAGAAGCAGACTGGGCCCCAGGCGAGGGGAAATCCCACACCACACCTGAGCCCTTGGCGCTGAGCTTTCGGGTTCCAGAAACGGTTCCAGAGCAGAACACAGCGGCAGTGTGGCCCTCCTCGCCAGGTGGTTGCTGACCACCCCTTCCCTCTCCCACAGGGGGGCAGCGGGGCACTCAGCCCTCCCAGGAAGAAGCAGCTGAGGACAGAGAAGGACTTCGTGCGGTTCAGCACCCCCGCCCTGCCCAAGCCGATCTTCTGCCGGAAAGCCAAGAGCAGCGCGGCTCCCTGCGCCCCGCGCCCCTCCGTGCAGGTGTGGCCCCCACGGCCTTGGGCTGCCCCGGCTGGGTCATGGTTCAGAGTTTGGGTGGGGGCCGGCAGGGGTAGGTCTGGAGCTGGCCCTGTGCCAGCCCTGGTGTGTCTGGTGCAGGCTGGCACCCCGGGCCTCGAGTCACGTGTCTCCCTGCACTCACGGTCCCCATGCCACGGCCCTAACGCCGCTGTCATCCCACAGCCCAGCAAAACTCCGCCCGGCACCAAGAAAGTCACGTTTGGCTTGAGCAGAAATATGACGGCAGGTGAGTAGGACCAGAGGTCAGCATGCTGGGCCCGGGGAGGGTGAGAGTTCTGGACAGAGTTCTGGGTCTTGGGGAATGTGAGGGAACATTCTGGAAGCAGGCCCGTGGAAGGCGGAAAGCCGCTTCCTGAAGCAGCTCAGTAAGCAGGGGTCCCGGGCAGGGTCTGTGGGGGCCTCAGAGCCCAGGAAATGACCAAGCGTGGGGCTGCCATGGGGCAGGTGGGTCTGCAGCGGCCACCCCGCCTCAGCTGTCTGCACTCTGGGGCAGAGTTCAAGAAGACAGATAAGAGCATCTTGGTGAGCCCCGTGGGCCCTTCCCGAGTGGCCTTCGACCCCAAGCAGCGGCCCCTCCATGGGGTGCTGAAGAGCCCAGCGAGCTCCCCGGCCAGCAGCCCCCTGACCACCAAGAAGCTGCTGCTCTCCACGCCGCAGCGGCGGCCGACGGCCATGGACTTCTTCTAGCGCCTTTCACTGAGGTTTTGTACAGTCGCGTATAAATTATAACTTTCCACGTGGGCTTTTTCACTTCCTGTCAGTCTCTGTGAATTACGTTTCCAAAGTTAACGCTAATGCGTGCACAGGGTCCCCGCTCTCGGGGGGGGGGGGGGGGGGGATCTCTCACCTGCTGATGCTTAGGGCTGGCTCCTGGCTCTAACTCAGGAATAACTCCTGGCAGTGCTCGGGGGCCAGGTGGGATGCTGGGATTGAGCCCGGTTGGCTTGTTCCCTGCTCAGAGACAGTCTGGCCTGGGAGGGTCAAAGATTCAGTCAGGGTCCAAGGGTTCATGCCAGCTGTCCAGGCTGGCATCATTGTGAGCGAGCCCCAGGGGCAAAGGCAGCTGTGTAGACTGAGGTAACGGAGTCGAACATGCATCTCTAGGTCTGAATTCTGGCAGATTCAGCAGGCTGGCATGGTAGACAGCAGGGAGGGCACTTGCCTTGCACACAGCTGACCCTAGTTCAACCCCTTGCACCATAGACAAGCCTCCAAGCCCAGCTGAAGTGACCCCTGGGCACTGCTAGATCTTGCCAAAAAAATATTTTGTTTCACTATTTCAACTCCTGAATTCTTTCTGAGGGAGGCAGAGAACCCAAAAGTCTGTGCGGGGTGAAAACAGCCTTTACCCCCCCTTGCACGGGCCAATTCCTGGCTAGGTGAGCGCTCATCTGTGCCTTGCCGGGGCTCAGAGCCGATGTCAGCAGCCCTGACCCTTGGTCCAGCAGAGAGGGGGACACACTGCTTTCTTGTGTTTCCCCCTTCATTCCCATCTCGCCTTTCAACAACACTGTCCCTCTTCCACCCTGCCAGGGGAGCAGGCAGGCAGGATTAGGAATGTGGCCTGAAGAAGGGGGGGGGGTGCTGGTGATCCATGACCCAGGTCCTGAGGACAGGAATCCCAGCCTCCCCCTCGGCCTGGAAAGGTACAAAGGTGAAGAACTGGAATCTCGATCAGAGCTTCCCTGCATGCCTCCCCCCCTCCCCCTTACCCTCCCGAGAACATTTCTCAACTCCCACTCAGCTCGGGTTCTCCTCTTGATAAGAACCCTGACAACAGCCAGAGTGCGGCGGGCACTGGGCCTGCATGAAAAGCCTGAGCTGCCCCCCTCAGGGGCCCCTGGACCCGGCCAGGAATGACCTGCTAGTCTGGCCTGTTGTGCAAGAAAGTAGGGCGGTGGGGCTGGGCAAAAGTCAGCCTCCAGCTGTGAGCCTGGAGGCTTTGTAGCCAGCGCGCAGAGATGCACGCACATGCCTGTGCATACGTATTCTCACACTTATGTACACTTGCACATATGCACTCGCAACATATGCTTTTACGCTCCACACACGCTCCCGTCACGCACACAGGATGGGGGTCCTCTGGGGAAGCCAGTCAGACCCCCAACCTACTCACCTATCTTGCAGCAACTCTTCGGGGCAGGGTTCCCTCACACAGTAGGGGACCCTGGTCAAAGCATGCCTCTGGGCTTGGGCAGGTGAGTGTGGCCAGGTCCATCTCTGGGGAAAGGAGAAGGAAGTGGGGGCAACTGAGGCCCCTGTTGTGCCGCTGAAGCTGCCTCCGTGCCTGTCCTGCATGCCGTGTGTGGCCGGGAGGGTCCCACCGCCCTGCTACCTTTTTGTTGGGACCACACCCACCCAGTGTGCTTAGGGACCCTCTGGGGTGCGGGAAGTGAGCCCCTTTCACCACCCACAGGGCAAGTGCTGGCCAGCTGCCTGTCGCTCCAGCCCCTGCATCGGGAGTTGACACGCAGGGCTCAGGACCTCCACACCCAGAAGTTGCCTGCTTGTGCCAGGGGCCATCTGAGCTGATCCCTAAACCCCAGCATTGGCGACCGAAGAATGAGCACAAGTTCGCGCGAGGCTTCAGGCTCCTGAAGCCACCCAGTCATCCTAGCCTGTGTGCCCACAATGGCAGTTTCTGGAAGTTGCTTGTGTGTTCAGGGCCGGAGCAGCACCGGGAGCTGGACTGTGGACGCAGTGGGTCAGCTGAGGACTGTCCCTGTGGGGCCCCAGGGCTCCTCAGGAGTCTGAGTGACCTTCCAGCATGGTGTCAGCGGCCCGTCTGGGTCTGGGGGCCAGAGCCAGGACATCCCCGACCTCCCAGGTGGTCATTCCTGAGTGCTGAGCCAGGACAACCCTTGAGCGTCGCCAGGTGTGACCCAGAAAGCAAATCCCCCCCAAAATGGCTGATAGCCAGTTCAAATGGACTCAGCGGGGTCAGCTGCTGCCCCTGAAGCAGTGGAGGTGCAGGAGGGAATGTCCGAGGTCAGCCTCGGCCTCTGGAACATGCTGTCCACTCTGCTGCTGACTTGACCTCAGGGTCTCCCCTATCAGCCCTGGACATTGGCCAGACCCCAGTGGTCTCAGACAGCACGTGGGACAAACCCCACAGCTTTGAGCTCTGGCTAGGGGACCCCTGCTGTCCCCACAGTGGGTCACATGTCAGGCAAGAGGCCTCCCGGGGATGGGCCTGTACACGCTGGCCAGGCTCTGTGCTCTGTCCCCCGAAAGCCTCCCAGAGAGAGTTCAGGACCCCCAGCGTGGAAGATGGCCCCGGCTTCATTCTGGGTGGACACGGGTGCAGTGAGCCGACAAGCGGGCAGCGGCCCTCACACCTTCATCCCTGAGGGAGGGCCGGTTCCGTCCAGGGGAAGGACAGACCCACAACCTGCCTGATCCCAGGGCGGCCACGGGCAGGTCCTGTGTGCTGGGGAAGGTGGCCCGCAGTTCCCCCGCTCGCCCGCGCCCTGGGAGCAAAGCCAGGCCCGGCCTGACGCACTGCCGGTCAGCAGGCGCAGGAAGCCGCCCTGATGGCCGGAAATCACCAGCTACGAAAGAATACAATCCGGACCCGTGGCCTACCGGGCACGAGGGGAACGGGCCACGGAAACAGCGTCTCTGGGACCTAAGCCAGAATGTCACCACAGAGACTCCGGCGATGAGAGCCCCTCACAGTCCCACATGTCCCTCCCGCCTCAGTGCCCCTCACAGTCCCGCGTGTCCCTCCCACTTAAGTGTCACAGTGCCGCATGTCTCCTGCCTCAGTCCCCCACAGTCCCGTGTGTCCCTCTTGCCTACCCCAGTGAATTGGCACAATGCAACCAACTGGTAAACCCCATTCTGTGCCCTTTTCGTCTCATGATTGCAGAAAAAAAAATATCAAAAGTGCTGGGGGGGGGGGGGGGGCTGGAACAATAGCACAGCGGGTAGGGCATTTGCCTTGCACGCGGCCAACCGGGTTCGATTCCCAGCATCCCATATGGTCCCCTGAGCACCGCCAGGAGTGACTCCTGAGTGCAGAGCCAGGAGTAACCCCTGTGCATCGCCAGGTGTGACCCAAAAAGCCAAAAAAAAATTAAAAAGTGCTCTGGGGCCAGAGAGAGGACAGCGGGGAGGCGTTTCCCTTCCAAGCTCTGACCCGGGTTCAGTCCCTGGCATCCATATGGTCCCCAAGCACGGTCTGGAGTGACTGAGCAGCACCAGAGTGGCTTGGAACAAACCCCAGGTGAAGTGTGTGCAGCCTGTCCAGCTGCCGGTTCAGGCCCCAACAGTGAAACCTCCCGCTTCCCCTCCTAGAGGTGTTCCCGGTTGTGACCAACGACGCTGATTCCAGTGCAGCACGTGGCCAGGATCACCCGGGGCCTCCCGCCCACTGTGCTTTGCTGGCACCCAGCTGTGCCGGGGAGTGGGGGTCCTAGGGTGCAGAAGGGCTGGTTTAAAGTAGGGAGCAAGAGAGGGGGAGTCGAGAAAAGTGTTTCTTCCTCTAGCTGACTCACCTCAGGCACCTGCGTTCTGGGAAAGGCCTGGCATGTGTCGAGACTGGTGGTGTCAGCTCCAAGCGCCTACAAGGCACAGTCACCCAGCCCCGTCGAATCAGAGGCCCCATGGGTAGCTTCTGTGAGGCGGGAAGGAGAGGGACGGACGCATCTCCCACTCCAGGACCAGCTGGGAAGCCCAAGACAGATAAAGTCTGCGATGAGCCCCTGGTGGGCACAGGCCTCAGCCCCCCCACTACCCGTCCAGCCATACCTGATATCCGCTTGGTCTTCTCGACACGGGGGTTGATCCCCACCACCCGATTTCTCGGGGAGCCGTGGACTCAGGCTAGAGCGATGGTTTGCTCCTTACAGGAAAGTCAGCCCTAGGCCTTACGCAGGGTTTGAGGGTTCCTGTCTCGTCTTGCAGAAAAGAATTTCAGGAGTAGATGAATAGTGAAGTAAAACAGTTGTAGGGTCTCGGGAAGGGGAAGGAGGGGGCGAAAGTGAGAGAGCAACACGCTCAAGGGCGAGCCCAGGCTTCTCCAGGGGGCGGAGAGAGCCCCCACAGCCCAGCGTTAGAGACGGAAGCACGAAAGTGCACATCCCAAGAGGGGAGACTCGGGTCACATATGGGCTCGGGCGACACACATGTGCTCGGCCATGTGGGCACAAGCAGCACATGGGCTCCGGCGGCATATGCACACACTTCCTTTGTTCAAGGCAGTCTTCACAGGGTTTTTCCAGCCTGCTCCACCTGGGGCTTTCTGACTAGGTAAGAGTCCGTTGCTAGGGCTGTTGCTAAGTGGGTAGAATTGGGTGCAGCGTTGAAACTCCTTCTCCTGACCTTTGTTCCTGCCGAATTTCTCTGAGGGTGGGTCCTGCTTCTCGGGTCTGGGCTAGCCGAGCCAAGGGTTAGTCAGATTAAAGGAAGGAATTGAGGGTCTCAGTGATTTCCCTCAGGTCCTTTCTGTAGGGCGGGTCCGTCTCCTCAGGGTCAGCTGCTGGGGAAGGTCTTAGCAGGTCTTGGCTTCTGGTTTCACAAGGTGGGTCGGCCTAGGACTAGTGACTTTATTACTTCCCAGAAATTTCACTGCTTTGATGTGTGGGGGGGGGGGGTCCCTTCCCTGGTCAGTGCCAGCTCGAGGTAGCCCCAGGACATGCCTGGATCCCTACTACCCCCAGGTCTCAGGAGCCTGGGAACTGCTCGGAGCAGGGTTCCAGCCCCATCACCTTCCCTCAGGAGTTTCTGAAGGAGGTAAAGTAAAGCAAGATAGTTTTATTGAACGAAACTTAGACACGAGAGAGGGCACACACTTTGATGTCGGGGGAGCCCCACGGCACGGGGGGCTCATGTGCAGCGGGGAGGAGAGAGACGATCACTTTTTCCCCATCTGCCTCTGCCACCTGGGACCCAGGGTTACTGGGTTCAGGAGTAGATGAGCAGTGAAGTAGAACAGATTTTATTTGGAAGTTTTGAAGGGAAGGAGGGAAAAGTGGAAGAGAGTGGGGACTAATGCACTCAAGAGAGAACATGGGCTTCTCTGAGGGCAGAGAGCCCTACACACACCCCAGCACTAGACAGGAGAGCATGAAAGTCCCCATCTCGAGGTGAGATGTGGAGGGGACACATGTGCTTGGCCACGTGGGCTTGGACAGCATCTGCGCCCTTCCTCTGTTCAAGGTGGCCTTTGTAGGGTTTCTCCAACCTGCCGCAGCAGGAACGTGCGGCTTCTAGCCAGGTCAGAGTCCGTTGCTAAGGAGGTTGCCAATGGGGGTAGGGTTGGGAGTGCCGATAGTCCACTTTGAAATTCCTTTCCTGGCCTTTGGTTCCTGCTGGAGCTTCTGTCAAGGGGGGTCCAGCCTCCTCAGTGTCTGCTACAGACTGACACCCGTTCTCCATGAGGTCAGGTGATAACTTCCCAGGAGATTTACTGCCCCTGCTTTGGGAGGGGCCTTCCCTATGTGCCCACCTGCCCACATCAGCGTGAAAAAGCAAAGGAGAAAGAGAAAGAGGCCTAGAGACTCACTCCAGGGGCATATGCGCTTGACGGAGCACCTCCTGGGTGACCGGGTGACTTTTTTTCTTTTTGGGTCACACCTGGCGATGCACAGGGGTTACTCCTGGCTCTGCACTCAGGAGTCACTCCTGGCGGTGCTCAGGGGACCATATGGGATGCTGGGAATCGAACCCGGTTGGCCGCGTGCAAGGCAAACGCCCTACCTGCTGTGCTATTGCTCCAGCCCCTTCCCGGGTGACTTTCTGGGGGTTTCGTACAGTTCCTCCAAAGGCGCTGGCTTTGGAGCTCTGCTTCCACCAGGATTAATCAGGACTCTGTCCGGGAAAGCCCAGACACACTCTGTCCGGGTATGTCCCAGAACCCGGCCCTCGCCCCTCGCCCGGCTCAGACCCTCATGATCCTTCTGCAGTTCCTCCTTTCGAGAAGCGTCCTCCTTTCCCGGGGTGGAGCCCTGCTTTCTGCACCGGCTGGGTGCCTCAGTTCCCTTCCTAGGGAGCTCAAAACTCGCGTGTCCAAGGTCTCCGTGCCCTTGGGCCCCTGAAGAGCCCGAAAATCACCCCAATTTCCTTATTTTCCAAAAGTGCGTGTTCAGGCGCCCTGAGTGGAGTGGGCGGGAAGGAAAGGACCCCCTCCCCACGCAGCGCTGCTCGGACCCTGGGGCGGGGCGGGGGCGGTTCCGATCCACGGGGCTGGGGGCGGGGCGGTTCTGACCCGCGAAGCTCGGGGCGGTTCCGACCCCCAGGGTTAGGGGCTGGGAGCAGTTTGGACCCACGGGCTTAGGGGCTGGGGGCGGTCCGGACCCGCGGGGCTGGAGACGGTTCCGACTCGCGGGGCGGGGACGGGGGCGGTTCCGACCCCGGGGGTTAGGGGCTGGGGGCGGTTCGGACCCGCGGGGCTGGGGCGGGGGTGGTTCCGATCCGAGGCCCCGCCCCGCGCTCCCGGGGCGTCCGTGCGTCCGGGCGGGCGCGTGCGCGGAGGCGGGGCCGGGCCGGGCCGGGCCGGGGCGGGACGGGCCAGCGGGTCGAGCGGGCGAGTGGACCGGGCCGAGCGCGCGGACGGCGGCATGGAGCCGGAGTGCCGCGTGCTGTCCATCCAGAGCCACGTCGTCCGCGGCTACGTGGGCAACCGCGCGGCCGCCTTCCCGCTGCAGGTGGGTGACGTCACGGCGACCTTGGCCGCGCGCCCGCCGCCCGGGGTCGGGGGCCTGGGCCTGCAAGCGGAGCCCCAGCGCGGTGGGCCGAGTCCCCGGGCCGCCCCCCGCACGCCGACCCTCGGGGTTCCTTTCGGGGGCTACACGCGGCTGTGCTCGGGGTTCACTCCTGACTGAGTGCTCGGGGCTCACTCCTGATTCAGTGCTGACTCCTAACTCAGTGCTCAGGGCTCCCTCCCGACTCTGCTCAGGGCTCACCCAGCTCTGTGCTCGGGGCTTACCCCTGGCTCTGTGCTCGGGGCACACTCCTAACTCAGTGCTCTGGACGCACTCCTGGCTCAGTGCTCAGGACTCAGTCCTGACTCAGTACTCAGGGCTCACTTCTGACTCAGTGCTCAGGGCTGACTCCCAGCTCTGTGCTCGGGGCTCTCTCCTGGCTGGCAGGCTGTACTGTCCCAGCCCCTCCTTCCTCCTCTGTTGGACACTTCCTTCCCTGACCCTGAACCCAGGGCACAGGACAGGACACTTCCCCAGCAGAGAGCTCTGTGGGGTGCCCGGGGCCAGTTCCATCCGCCCCTCCAACCCCCATCCAAGCATCAGGGCCCCCGACCCCCTCCTGGCCCCGTCCTGGCCCATGTGCCGTGCGCGCCTGCGTCCCTCAAGGTGCGAGGCCAGAGCAGCCTGACCACGTCCTGGGCCTGAGACTCTGCATCCCAGCCCATGCTGACAGGGCAGCGGCTGGGCAGCACGTGGGTTCCAGTGCTCTGCAAGGCTCAGCCTGACCTCGGGCCTGCTGTGAGGACGGGGTCTGTGTTGGGACCGGCCCAGCCCACAAATCCTGGCTGACCACGGGGCCTCAGGGCGGCAACCGTTCTGCACGGCCAGCGCCCACGCCGTCCGCTCTGGACTCCAGGTGTGCGTCTGGCCGAGGGAAGGTGCGGCCGGGAGCTGAGGACCCTCCTCACCCCCAGCCAGGGAGGGGACAGGGGCAGCAGGGAGGGCTGCAGTCTGCTGACCAGCCCCCAACCCTGGAACCTAGAACTTCGAGTCCCTGTGGAAATGCAGGGCGGAAATGGCTCCAGCCCAGCAGGGGGTGGCTCCAGGCTGGAACACTGCAGCCAGGGGCTCAGCCCTGAGCCTGGGACAGCTGGGAGTGACCCCAGGACCAGAGAGAAAACGGCCTGCTGTGCCCTGCCCCGCCTCCCAGGACTGTCACTCAGCCACCCCATGTCTGCCCCATGCCCACCCGGAGTGGCTTGTGGCTTGCTTTGCCTGGCTCAGGGGAGGGTGGAGGGGTGGGGGGGCGGGGGGGGCACGCTCAGGAGTGTTGCTCTGGGCTGAGAGGCAGAAACGTTCTGAGGTGTGTTCTGTGCGTGTGTGAGAACACGTGTGCGTGTGGCAAGCAAGCGTGTGTGCGATCGTGTTCTGTGGTATGGCCTCGTGCATGCGTGTGCATGTATGTGAGCGTGGACCAGTGTCAGTGTCCCTATATCAGGGGGTGTGTATCTGGACACGGTGTGGCAGGCACACGTGAGCAGCAGGGCGGGGGGGGGGGGGGCGGGGGGGGGAGCATCGCACAAGCAGGGGCTCAGGGCACCCCCCCAGAATACGCCCACGCAGCTCAGAAGCCGAACCAGCCTGGGCTCCGGACCTGAGCTGGAGCGTGGCAGGGGGGAGGGGGGAAGGGGGGAGGAGCACAGCCAGGAGGAAGAAGGGAGGAGGAGGGAGGGGACGAGGAAAGGACTTACGGGAAGGAGGGAGGGGAGCGAGGGAGGAGGGAAGGAGCAGCAGGAAGAGGGAGGAGCACCCCTGCCCTGCTGGTCTACCCCGTGCCCTGCCCTGGCTCCTGGGCCCCCGGCTCCTGGACCTTGGGAGTTGGGGGCCCCTCCCAGGGCCAGGCTGACTGGCATAGTGGAGGGCAGCGGGGGTCCAGGAAGCCAAAGACCCAGCCGGGCCCCACACCAGTGAGATGCCGGCTCTGGGCTGCCGCCACAGGGGAGAACAGCACCCCTTCTCCGGGCTGGGTGTTCGGGGGCGTGCTGGCTCACTGGGTGGGCCCAGTCCAAGCACTGCGGCTGGGAAGGCAGTGGAAGGGGGTCGTGTTCTCCCAGGGATGGCCACCCTGTCCGCCGCTGCTCCTGGACCTCCTGACTCCTTCCTCCCAGCCTCCCTTCCTGCACCCCCACTTGAGGAGAGTCGCTTCCCCTCCCCCTCCTCCTCCCCTTCCTCCTCAGCGGAGCGGGGGCGATGCCCCTGATCTCTGGGCAGTGGGGGAGGGCTGCAGAGTCCAGCCCCTCATCAGCCACTGCCCACTGTCCTGCAGGTGCTGGGCTTCGAGATCGACGCCGTGAACTCCGTCCAGTTCTCCAACCACACTGGTGAGGCGGAGCTCAGTCCCGGGAAGTCTCAGCCACCTCCGCCCACGGCCTGGCCTGTGGGGGCTCCAGGGCTGCTGCACCCCCACAGCCTGCTGGAGCTGGGCTTGTGCTGGGAACGGGCTTTGGTCGGGAGGGGCAGCGCGAATGGCACCCCGGCCTGGGGAGGGACCCAGGAGGGAGGAGCGGGTGGGCGGTGTCCAGCCACCCCAGGACTCTGTCCAGGATCCTGCTGGCTCCAGGGAGTGGGCGTTGGGGCGGAAGTGGCGGCTCTCCCCCTCCGAAGGGCTCGGGGGCAGGAACAGCCCCGAACAGGGGGCCTTGTCCTTGGGCTACGCCTGAGACTGCCAGAACCCCCTCCCTGCGTGGTGCCGTGTACTGCCGTGTGACTGCGTGTGCCCATGTCTGCGCAGGGTACGCACACTGGAAGGGGCAGGTGCTCAACTCGGGGGAGCTGCACGAGCTCTATGAGGGCCTGCGGCTGAACCAGGTGAACCAGTACGACTACGTGCTCACAGGTGGGTGCCCGGGGCTGCCCACCGCATGAGGCCCTGGGGGCCCACAGTCCTGCCCAAGACATGAGCCTGTGGGGGTCCCGAGACCTGCCCACGACATGAGCCCATGGGGGTCCCAAGGCTGCCCACGGGCCTGGGGCCATGAGGGACTTTATGTCCCCATCTCCAAATGTCATTTCCTGTGGGGACTTGGGATCCTGCCTGGGTGGTCCTGGGGCTGTGACCGCTTGCCCCCGCAGGCTACACGCGGGACAAGTCCTTCCTGGCCATGGTGGTGGACATTGTGCGGGAACTGAAGCAGCAGAACCCCAGGCTAGTCTACGGTGGGTGTTGCCTGCAGCCCCAGCTTTGGGGCAGGCCCCTTGGGTGAGCTCTGCATGGTGAGATGGGTCGGGGGCAGCGGGGCGAGGGGGGCTCTGTGCCCACTGGGGACCGCGGTGCTGAGGAGGCCCCTGGGACTTGACTCCTGAGGTGGGGTCACCTAAGGGCAGGTGTTGGTCCGCTCTCAGCTGGTCTCCAAGACGTGGCCTGAGGGCTGGCCCCAGGGCCACTGCTCAGGATCCTTTGTGTCCCTACAGTGTGTGACCCAGTGATGGGGGACAAGTGGGACGGCGAGGGCTCCATGGTGAGTGGCCTGCATGGGGGTGGCCGGGGGCCTTGGCGGGCATGCACACACGCATGCACGCACGCACACACGCACAAACAAACACACATGCCGGGCTCAGGGTTGAGAGCCCAATTGCCCAGAACCAGTGGCCAGCAGAAGGCGGTAGAACTGCCCTGGTCGGGTGCCTGGCTACTGTCCTCTGCGGGCTGGGTTTGCCCCGTCCGAGGGCCCGAGTTTCCGGGACAGCATCTCTGCAATGGGCTTTCTCTGGGGTCTTGGGGGGGGGGGGGGCAGCAGGGACAGGGGGTTACAGGGCCCTGGGCGCATTCGGGGTGAAAGGCCCCACAAGCTGCCCATCTGCCCAGCTCCATCATCTCCCTGCTCCTGACACACGTGTATGTGCGTGTCACGTGTGTGCGCTCACCCATGTACATAGTTCTACATGTACTCACATGCACTGACACGTGCATACTTGCACTCTTTTTCACGCACACACATGCATACACACACCGTGCAGGTGACTGGTCTTCTGGAGAGGGGCAGGGGGCGGGAACATCCTCCATAGTAGTCTCCTGCTCTGGCCGTGTGTCCCACTGACCCTGCGCTGACCAGGGGCTCCTTGCCCTGCCCCACCCCATCCCTCCTCGTCCCTCCTTTCCCTCCCCTCTCCCTCCTGCCCCTCCCTGTCTCCCGGCCCTCCCTGGCACTCAGCCACATGCAGGATCCTGCCTGACTGTCACTGTCCTGGGCTCTGAATCCCCTGCGGGGGGCCTGAGCTCACCCCCACACCACAGGGGACCTCCCCAAATCCGTAATCCTCAGGCACTGGCCCTGGGGCCCCCTGGCCATACTGAGGGGCCTGTGACCGGAAGCCGGGGTGGGAGCGCGGGGTCCGGTCCTTGGGCCCCTTGGCTGCATGCCGGACAGGAGGGCTGGGGGTACTGGTGCCGTCAGCCCGACCGCTGCCCTCCTTGTGCCCAGTACGTGCCTGAAGACCTGCTGCCCGTCTACAGGGACAAGGTGGTACCCGTGGCAGACATCATCACCCCCAACCAGTTCGAGGCCGAGTGAGTGCTGCTGGGCGGGCCCGCGGGTGCCCTGCACAGCCCCCAGACCTACAGGCACCTGGCCAGCACAGCCCGGGGGTCTCCTTCGCGCCTGCTGTTACATCTTGGCTGGTCCCGGATGGGGTCACTCGGGGACTCTCTGAATGAGTCCATCCGTACAAGGCTATCTGCTGACCCCATGACCCTGGACTGTGTTGGGGTGTCTGTCACTGGGGTGGTACTGGCTTAGTGCCACGGGAGCTGCTCCCCAGGAAGTACGAGCCCCCGGGACCAACCCTGCCCCAGCCCGGCAGGCAGAGCAGGTGGCCCATGTCCCGGTGGGGACCAAAAGGGGGGCTCATCTCGTCCCTCTCTATCAGGCTACTGAGCGGCAGGAAGATCCGCAACCAGGAGGAGGCGCTGCAGGTGAGGGGCCTCTCAGGTGCTGCCCAGGGCAGGACTGGCATGGGGATGGACTGCCAGCTGCTTAACTACAGGTTGGGACTGGTTATAGGTTAGGACTGGTTAGCTATGGGTTAGGGCAGGTTAACTGCAGGTTAGAACTAGTTGACAACAGGTTAGGGTTACCTACAGGTTGGGTTACCTACATGTTAGGACTAGTTAACTGCAGGTTAGGGCTGGTTAGCCACAGATTAGGACTGGTTGACTGCAGGTTAGGGCTGGTTGACTACAGGTTAGGACTAGTTTAAACAAAACTACAGGTTAGGAGTGGAAACTGCAGGTTGGTGCTGGTTGACCTGCAGGGCAAGGCTGGGGGAGCTGGATGCCAGTGGGGACTCTCGGTGTCCCCACCTCAGCCCCTCTGTGGGTCCCTTAGGGTGGTGGGTGGGACCCTGCTGGGCACTGGGGGAGCGGGAAGTGCTGAGCTCCCTGCCCATGTCTAGGTGATGGATGTGCTGCATTCCATGGGCCCTGACACCGTCGTCATCACCAGCTCCGACCTACCGTCCCCGCGGGGCAGCGACTACCTGACGGCGCTGGGGAGTCAGCGGATCCGTGAGTGCTCCAGACTGGGCCTGTGTTGGGGGGCTCGGGCGCCACACATCCCACCGTGGGCACACCAGAAGCACAAGGAACAGCCCAGCAGAAACCCGGCCTGGAGACCAGGAACCCCCAGCCCACCACAGGCGCAGCACAGCCACGGAGCCCCCTGTTGCCCCTACAGCAGACCCCACCCCCACCCCACCCCCCGGCCCTGCACACACACTCACCCACACACAACACCCACAGTGTCTGAGGGGGCCTTTGCGGAGGTTTGAAGGGTTGTTTGTTTTTATTTTGGGGCCACATTTGGCAATGCTCAAGGATTACTTCTGGCTTTGCACTCAGGAATCACTCCTGGCGGTGCTCAGGGACCATATGGGATGCCGGGGATTGAACCCGGGTCAGCTGCGTGCAAGGCAAACGCCCTCCTCACTGTGTTATCTTTCTGGCCACCTCCCCCCCTTTTTTTTTATTTTTGCAGGGCCAGGATGGAACCCAGAGGGAACCCACAGAGAAAGTGCTTGACAACTGAGCCACCTTAGTACACACAAGTGTCACCATGCACATGTGCACAAGCACATGTGCACGCTCCCTCTCCTTGGTACATGCAGTGCCCACAGACAGGCACACATGCACGCTCACCTACCTTGGTACACGCAGTGCCCACATGCAGACAGGCACATGTGCACGCTCGCCCTCCTTGGTACATGCAGTACCCAAACGTGGACAGGTACACATGCACCCTCGCCCACCTTGGTACATGCAGTGCCCACATGTGGATAGGCACATGTGCATACACACACACACACCCCGTGCATACAGGCACACATGCACCCTCGCCCACCTTGGTACATGCAGTGCCCACATGTGGATAGGCACATGTGCATACACACACACACACACACACACACACACACACACACACACCGTGCATACAGGCAGGCACTCATCACCTCCCTCTCCCCCATGACCCCAGGGTTCCTTTGGCTCTAGGTACCCTGGGGGCTCCCAGCGATGGAGTTTGGAGCTTCTTGGACTAGCCGTGCGGGGCCGAGGGGTTTGGGGTTCCACCTACGCACTCTGCCCCCAGGGAACCCTGATGGCTCGGTGGTGACGGAGCGAATCCGCATGGACATGCACAGAGTGGACGCCGTCTTTGTGGGCACCGGGGACCTCTTTGCCGCCATGCTCCTGGCCTGGACACACAAGCACCCCAATAATCTTAAGGTCAGGGCGCCTGGGCCCTGTGTTGGCCCTCCATCTCTGAGGCGGGGAGGCTGGGGTCAGGCTAGCCCACTGGACTCTGGGTCGCCTTCAGAGGGCCTGAGCCTGGGGCAGGTCAGCCCTGCGAGGCTCCTGCTCCAATGCTCACCACCCATCATTCCCGCAGGTGGCCTGTGAGAAGACCCTGTCAGCCATGCATCACGTCCTGCAGCGGACCATCCGGTGTGCCCAGGGTATGCTCTCAGAGGTGGGGAAAGACATACCCACTGCGGAGGGCACTGGAGGTCCAGCCGGCGCCCCCTCACGCCTACCCCCCTTCAGCCCAGGCAGGGAAGGGGCAGAAGCCCAGCCCCGCGCAGCTGGAGCTCAGGATGGTGCAAAGCAAGCGCGACATCGAGAGCCCCGAGATCGTGGTGCAGGCCGCCGTGCTGTGAGCCCCGTGTCCGTGCACACGTGATGTCCGCCCAGAGCCATGACGACAACGTGATCCTTCTCGTGCGTGTCCAGTGTCGCAGGTGTCCACTGTGCCCGTGCCGTCCTGCTTCCTCCACCAGCCAAAGTCCCCAGACGCGTGTTGAGACTGCCCGCCCCGCCCATCCAGGGGCCCCACCGCCCCTCCACAGGTCGTGCCAAGGGCCCTGCTCCTGGAATCCCTGCTCCTTTCCGCACTCCCCGCGGCTCATGCTTGGTGGCCTCCGGCAGACCTGCGTAAGGTGGCTGCTCGGCCCCCTTGAGGCCCCACGTGAGGTTTTTGTCTCCGCTTTCCTGTCAGGCCGATCCCGAAGGGCGGGGGGTGGTGTGACTTATGGGGTACTTCACCCACCAGAGTGTGGGGACCGGGAGGGGCAGCCTGCTGGGGGCCGCACATAGCTGGGTGGCCTGCTGCTGGGCGGGGCCACTAGGGCAACACTGTCCTCTGTGGCTCCAGTGAGATTCCCCTCGCTCTGGGCTGAGGTCCTGCACCCTACAGAGCCTGTGGGGTTCCTGTCTCTTCAGTATTCCCCACAACAAGGGGACCCGGCGCCTCCCCCACTCCCTCCAGCAGACAGGATCTGGGGCTTCCTGGATGGAGCCTGTGGGATGCAGGGTCCCGTGGGCGGGGCTCGGCTCTGGGTGACCCTGTCGACATTCCAGCTGAGCACGGCTGAGGCCCGTGCATGCACTTGCCCGCAGGGCCTGGATCCTCCCTCGGAAGCTCCCCCGGTCCCAGGCACTGGGTTTTGACACAGGTTGGGGGCCAAATCTGAACCGGTCTTTTCTCTGTTGTCTGCGTACGTGTATTCTGGAGCGAGGGTGCCCTGCCTGCAGCTAGCACACAAACCCGTCTGTCTGCCCGTTTCCCCCCCCCCCCCCCCCCCCCCGCAGACCCGCCTCACTGCTCTCCTGGTGGTTTTCTAAATCAATTCTAAGTCCCTGTGTCGTGCTCCTAAGGTGACTGCTGCCTGTCCATCGTGCAAATACACGTCAGTGGTACACATGCGTGTCCTGTGCTTGGGGGGTGGGGTCCTGTCCTGGGGAATGGGTGGTGACCACTGAGAGTGGGAGCCTGGGGTGAGGCAGGACAGCATGTCCTGAGTCTCAGACCACGCTCCTGCTGACCAGATGCTCCCCTGACCCCAGCTCCTCTGCCCGCTGGGGAAGCTGCCTCACAGGCCCGGGGGCCATCACCTAAGGTTGCACGGCTCACAAGGACAACCTCAGGCCTGAGTACTGACAGGTCCTATAACCTTCCAGAAACCAGAAGCACCATCCCGAGAAGGCCCTTACCAAAGGCAGCCCCGTGACCATTTGCGTGCTTGTGTCCTGGGCCATGTTACTGGAATGCTGTGTGACAGGGACAGGCGACAGGACGACTTGAGCTGCTGTGGGTGCATGTTGGATAGCAGGTTCCTGGGGCCATGTCCAGGTGGGGCAAGGGCTGCCAGTGGGCTCCAGGGACGGTTGTTGCTGCATCATCACCACCAGCCACGCATGTTGGGATTGTGGCCCCAGACAAGGAAACACCCTCACTTATTTGCAGAAATTTAAAAAATGGGCATTTTGTGGGAACACAGCATCAGAGTGACTCGGGGCAGGTCACATGGCGGGGGAAGGGGGGGGGGTGTCTGCTGCAGCTGCACCGCCTAGAAGTAGGTCAGCTCATCGTGCCGGGCTTTGCTCGTCTGGTAGTTGGCCAGGACCAAGGGCTTGTTCTCGTGTGGGAGGCTCTCGAACACGCGGAGATGTGCGAACTCGTCCTCATCCACCTGAACCTGGGAGGGGGTGGGCAGGGACAGCTGATGGCAGGCCACTGGCCACTGCAGAGCCTGGAGCCCTCCCCGTGTGCGCACACACACTCCTTTAGGTCGCCCCAGGCGCACCTTGATGAAGTAATTCCTTCCAGCCACCACTTGGGACTTGTACTCCACGGCCTTAAAGGTGTTGAATTTCCGGTTCTCCTTCTCCTCCAGCTGGGCCCTGACCTGGAGAGAGAGAGCGCGGCAGTGCTGGGCGCAGGGTCCTTCCACAGGTATGATTCAGCACACATGTCCATACCCGCTTCTGTTAGCTTAGCAAGTCCAGTTCATTTCAAAATCAAGTGATTTATTTGTTTTTTTGGGGCCACACCCAGCTGTGCTCAGGGCTTCCTCCTGGCTCTGCACTCCGAGACCAGCCCTGGCATGTTCAGGGGACCAGACAGGACACATGATCAGACCCAGGTGGGTTGTGTGCAAGGCACAGCCTCCCACTGTGCCCGGGAATCAAGCCATTAGTGGAATTCACTAAGCGAAGGGCAGTGCAGCAGCAAAGCTCCCAGGGGCGGGAGGAGTCTCTCGGGCGGGTTCCCAGGAATTTCAGCTTTTCCCGTGCCTGTGTGAGCCGACAGGACTGCAGTGCATGCATGGCCTGCACAGGCCCAGGGGAGACCCAAGTTGGGCTGGGCAGAGCCCGGTGGCGCTGCTGGGAGACCCCAGGAAACAGCACAGTCATCTTGGGCCCACGGGGCTGCAGGGAGGCTGTTGCTTGCCTGGGGCTGGAGGCCTGGGGTCCTGCTCTCAGGGCTGGGCTGCCTCCGGTGGTCCTGGGGTGAGAGGAGGCTGGACTGTCCCTGCCTGAGCTGAGCGCCCTAGAACCCAGCAGGCTGGGCCTTCAGAGGGAGGGTCGGCAGGGATGGGCCCCATGGGCCTGAGCTGGCAGCTGAGTGCTGTCCACTTGTGTGACTTGTCACCTGGGGTCCCTCACAGAAGGGGACATGGGCCAGGGGGGAAACTGAGGCCGGCTGCAGACAGACCCCTGACCCGAGGAGCACAAAACAGGATAGTCTGGGGTGAGATGTGGGTGACTAAGCCCACGGAGTAGGGCCGCGGCCCCAGAGGGCAGGCGGGCGCCCCCACGCTGGGCAGGCTCTCCCGGACTCGGCCCCCACTGCTCAGGGAGGGGAGGACTGGCAAGTCCGGGGTTCCCGGCCCGATGGGGGCCTGGGCACGAGACCCACCCCGGCCGGGACCCGGGCCTTGACGCCCCCCGGGGGTCGCGCCTACCTGATCGGCGATGGCCTGGGTGTCGGGGGTGGCGGGCTGCGTGGCGGTGGGGGCCCCGCACATCATGGTGGCGGCGGGCTCGGGCGGGCGCGGTCTGTCGCGGGCTCCGGGGACGTGCTGGACCACTGGGTGCCGCCGCCCCGCCCAGCCTGCGGCGCGGTCACGTGGGCGCGGTCACGTGGGCGTCATCACGTGGGCGCCCTCGCCTGTACGGCCCAGTCCGGCCCCGCTGCGCGCCTCCTGGACACGCCTCCTCCTGTCCCCTCGGCCCCGGGGCCGGGCAGGGTCCCAGCCGGGCGGACCAAGAGTGCCCAGCTGCAGAAGGGTCCCCCGGAGACGCCCTCGGGGTGCGCATGCTCGGCCAGCGTGGACCGGCCGCGGCGGAGCCCTCCTGCCTGCTGTGTGGCGCAGCTCCTCGCCCAGCCTCTCTGTGCTGGGAAACGCAGTACCCCCGCCCCAATGCTGAGAGAGTCGGTGGGCTCACGTCCCGGAACTACTGGTCAGACGCGCCCTCGCGCACGTGCCGGGAAGGGGGATTCCCCGCCCCAGGCCCTGCCCGGGCTCCTGATGGCCTGGACGCCCCGATCATCGCGCACGTCGGGGAGGACGCCAGAACAGATCTCCTAGGTTGGGTTGGGGGGACACACCTGGAGGGTCTCAGGGCTGACTCCTGGCTCTGCGCTCAAGGGTCACTCCTGGGGGGACTCCGGGGACCCTGTGGGGTGCCGGGAATTGAACCTGGATCCATCACATAAATGCAAGCGCCCTCACTGTCCCGGCTCCTGCAGGATGCTGTGGGTGGGCGGGCGGGCGCACTGCCGGGCTTCACCTCCCTGAGCAACTGCTCCAGCTCGGGGTCTTTGCTGCACTGGAGGCCTCTGCACAGCGGGAGCACTGTCCCCAGAGCACAGGGCCCTGGCTCTACTGAGTGCTAGCAGCAACCCCGCTCACGGCGCGGGGCTCAGCGACTCGGGTCCGTTGCTGCAGGAATGAGGTCTGATGGCAAAACAGCGTCTCGGCTTCCGCCGGGCTGTCACGAGATCCCAGCGCACAGCAGGGCCGAGACCGCTTCTGCAGGTTCCACTGTCCCTGTCCTGATGCTGACTCACCCCCGCGCCCAGCCAGTTAGTTCCTCCTCATGGAGCAGCCGCTGCTCTGGCGCCCACACTCCCCAGCTCCTCCCTGGACATGCAACACCCCTGGCCTCCCCACAGCTGGCCAGAAAGCTCTTTGTAACACGGGGCTGTGTGCTGGGGACACAGCAAAGGGCCTGGGGACCTGCGCCCCGGGTCCCCTCAATGCCATTGATGTTTAATTCCCCAGAGTCCTGAGCACTGCAGAGGGCTCTGGGCGGTCTGTGACCAGGGCCCCATCCTCGGCTTCCCCTGGAGCCACTAGTCTAGAGGGCTGGATCACCTGGCATGGCCTCCTGAACCCGTTAGTGGGGGCCAACTTCCCCCACCGAGGCAGGAGGGCGAGGGAACAGGCTTTGCGAGAGCCCCGGTTCCGTCCCCAGCATGGCAGGCTCCTGCTGCCCCAAGCACTTCTATAAGACCCGCCCAGACTAAAAAAAAAAAAAAAGACCCCCAGACTGAGCCTGCAGTAGTCCCTAAGCATCTTGGTGTGGCCCCAAATGAAGGAGGGAGGGGCGGGGAGAAAGAGAACAGGAGGAAGGAGAGAGAAAGGTCTGCCTCCACTTTGCTACTGAAAATGTCCATTTCTGGGCTGGGCAGTACATGGGTTTAGAGACTTAGGTTTTTTTTTTTTTTTTTTTGCTTTTTGGTCACACCCAGCGATGCTCAGGGGTTACTTCTGGCGGTGCTGGGGGACCATATGGGATGCCAGGGATTGAACCTGGGTCGGCCACATGCAGGGCAAATGCTCTGCCCACTGTACTATTGCTCCGGCCACAAGGGCTTTTTATGTGTGTGTCACACCTGGCAATGCACAGGGGTTACTCCTGGCTCTACACTCAGGAATTATTCCTGGTGGTGCTCAGGGGAACATATGGGATGCTGGGATTTGAACCTGGGCTGACCATGTGCAAGGCAAATGCCCTACCTGCTGTGCTATCGCGCCAGCCCCCCCCCCCCCAGGATTTTTTTTAAAGCAAATAAAAATAATCCTTTGTTTTGGGGCCACACCCCGCATGCTCAGGGCTTACTCCTGGCTCTGCACTCAGGAATCACTCCTGGCTGGCTCAGGGAACCAAGTGGGGTACCAGAGATTGACCCTGGGTTGACCTTGTGCAAGATAAGTGCCCTACCCACTGTATTATCGCTCTGACCCAAAATAATTTTTTTCATTTTTTATAATTTTATTTATTGAATCACCGTGAGAGCAGTTACAAAGCTTTTGGGTCTAAGTCCCGGTCATACAATGAAACACCCGTACCTTCACCAGTGCCCATTCTCCACCACCAAAAACCCCAGTATACCCCCACTCCTCCCCGCCCTCCCCCTACCTATGGGGCAGATGATTTCCACATTCTCTCTTCTTTGATCACATTCAATACTTTGACACCAGACCCACCATTATTATTTGAGATTTTACCCCAACATTCAGATCTGCTGAAAAGGCAACAGTAGACAATTTGTGTTCTATTGCTGGTTATGAAAAACATATGATGTTGCATGGCTGCAGTAGGGCCACGTGATCTTGAAATTCCAAAATTTTAACACTTAAATCTGGAGGGATTTCTGCCAAAAGCCACTGGGTTTCGAGATTTGCTCCTGAGTCTCTGGGATCATGGCCGTTGAGCAGCTTGATCAGGAGCCAGAGAGGCCGTTTGTGGGCGATGACTTGGGGTCTCATTGGGGTGGGAAGTACAGGCCCGGCTCCACCCCCATCCCATGAGGCCCAACAAGTTTTGTTACTGCAGACCCAAGCCTGACTGTCCAATGGCCTCTGGAGGATGACGGCCACCGAGCCACCAGGGAGAAGCGGGCAGAGGGATAGCACCCTTTCCCCCCTGGGGTGGCCCAGCGACAGTAACCTACTGCGGGGTCCAGCCACATTTCTGCCAAAAGCCGCTGGGTTTCGAGATTTGTTTCTGAGTCTCTAGGATCATGGCCGTTAAGCAGCTTGATCAGGAGCCAGAGAGGCCGTTCGTGAGCGATGACTTGGGGTCTCGTTGGGGTGGGGAGGACAGGCCCGGCTCCCTCCCCACCCCCCAATCCCGTGAGGCCCAACAAGTTTCATCACTGCGGGCCCAAGCCTGACTGTCCAATGGCCTCTGGAGGATGACAGCCACTGAGGCGCCAAGGGGGAGCATGCGGAGTGACAACAACCTTTCCTCCCTGGGGTGGCCTGGCGACAGTAACATACTGTGGGGTCCGAATGCATTTCTGCCAAAAGCCGCTGGGTTTTGAGATTTGTTTCTGAGTCTCTGGGATCATGGCCGTTAAGCAGCTTGATCAGGAGCCAGAGAGGCCATTCGTGGGCGATGACTTGGGGTCTCGTTGGGGTGGGGAGGACAGGCCCAGCTCCCCCCACATCCCGTGAGGCTCTGCGTGTCTCGTCACTGGGGGCCCAAACCTGACTGTCAAGTGGCTTCTGAAGGATGGCGGCCACTGGGCCGCCCAGGGGAACAGGCTAAGGCACAAAACCTATTCCCACCTGGGTTGGCCCAGCACGGTAACCTACTGCAGGGACCGGACGCATTTCTGCCAAAAGCCGCTGGATTTTGAGATTTGTTTCTGAGTCTCTGGGATCATGGCCATTAAGCAGTTCAATCAGGAACCAGAGAGGCCATGCCTCCAATTATATAGCTGAGCCAGAGGTGGTTTGTGGGTGTGTTTCCCACATACCTAACTTTTGGCCGTTTACTTTCTTGGTAAATTTTGCCCCAAGTTTTTGGGGTCTGGCCAAGGGCACATCAGCAATTTTGGGGTATCTGGAAGCCTGAAGGTGCCATGAGGCTGCTGATACACTCGCCTCACAGGTATAGACTGCCCTGCTGGCGGCACCATACCCCCCCAAAATAATTTTTATATAAAAGAAATCCAGAGACATGTGGAGGGGAAGAAGTCAGCACTTCAATTCCTGCTCTCAGAAGCCAGAATCCAGGCGGGGGCAGGGACGGGGCAGGGCAGGGGGCTCAGCTGGGATCTGCATCCTGGCTCCCCTTGTTCACTGGTGGCCGCCCAGGGCCCCAACCAGATGCACAGTCTGGCCCTGGCTAAGGGCCCCACAGAAAGCCTGGGTGCTAATCTGCTGTGTTCTTGAACTGTCATCCCACGGCCTCTCCCTGCATCTGGCACGTGTCTGTGGGTGACTTCCTGGGTGCTGACTCATGCTTGTGTCCAAGTAGATCACAGCTGGGGTCCTCCTAGCACCTAGGATGGGCCTGGAGTGAAGGAACCGGTGGGGGTCCCATGACAGAATCCCGCTGTCCTCTCAAGATGACTCCCGTGACAGCAGGGTGAGGAAGTGTTGAGCCGGGAATCAGGATAAGGAAAGAGACCATTCTCGGGTATGCAAAAACAAGGGTCAAAGTCCCGACGCACCAGCCTCAGGACAAGGACCCCGACTTTAGTTTCAGCGGATGTTATATAGCACATGGCTACATAAGTTGCACACACTCTGGTCTAACAGCCGTTATTCTTGGCACACAAGCTGCTGATTCGGCGCACGGTGGCTGGTCATGCCCACCTCTGGGTCCCGAGGTTTGTCTTGTGATGATTGTCTCATTTTGGGGAAACTGCAACTGCCCCTCCCTGAGACTGTGGCCTAGCTAATTTTAAAACCTTTAGCAGCCTAGGGCTGAAGCAATAACACAGCGGGTAGGGCATTTGCCTTGCACACGGCTGACCCGGGTTCGATTCCCAGCATCCCATATGGTCCCCTAAGCACCACCAGGGGTAATTCGTGGGTGCAGACCCAGGAGTAACCCCTGTGCATCGCCAGGTGTCACCCAAAAAGAAAAGAAAGAAAAAAAAAAACCTTTAGCAGCTGGTCATGGTGTTCCTTCTGATCGTGTAACCTGCCTGACTGAGCCTTGTATTTGAAAACACATTCTTTTAGGAAGGGACAGGCCTTGCAGGCGGGGCCAGGCCACAGACCCTGGCCCTGCCCACTGCACCCTCGCCTCCCGCCAATAGGTATCTGAACACACAACCCAAACCTTAATTCCAAAGCAGGAATGGAGGTGTTCTGGGCGACTTTGCCCAGCACATGCCAGAGGCTCCTAATCTAGGGTGAGGTTGAGAAAGAGCCTCACATGCGCCCTAACAGGCTGCACTTCAGCAAAACAAGCCGTAAGCCTAAGTTACTGCCCCCTTCACCCTGCCAAGAATTCCCTGAGACTGTCCTTGTTCCAAGCTGGAAATCCCCTAGACGCCTCTAGCCAGCCCTAGAATAAGTAGGACATCTCTGGGAACTACCGGTGGGCATGACCAGTTAGCTTCGACTTGTGACTGCCTCCTCGCAATTCTTGGGAAACTGCCAACGTTGCTTGCTTACGTAACCATATGCCATATAATGTTCCCTGGAAATTGGGGGCTGGGGTCCTGGTTGAGACTCCACTGCGTCAGATGAGACTCGGACCTTAGCTTGAGCTAGCAGTAAAGGGGCCTTGCATTTGCATCCTCGTGTCTGCTCTGGTCAGTGTGTGAGCGAAACTCTGTTCCCAGGACATAACAAGGGCACAGATTTTCTGACCCATTGGACTTTGGGGGTGGGGAATTCCACGTTCCCCTCAGAATTTCCAGCCTCAAACTATTTCCAAGGGGAGGAAAGGGCAAGAAAACAGCCACAGCCTGATGGACTACTGTGGTCTCTTGAGGCCACACCGCTGGTGCCCAGCAGCACCCGTGGCGGGGGCGGGAGGCCCCGGGCCACCGCGCGGCAGGCCCACCCACTCGGGCCCTGACCCCACGTCCAGCGGCCTCCGGGGCTCTGGGCCAGAGGGACAGCGGGGACTGGCACGGACCAGGGCCGGGGGTCCCGCCCGCACGCACACCCCCACTCGGGCGCTCGCTGCTCGGGACGACCCCTGGGAGTGAACCGGGGTGGGTGGCGGAGCCCGGAAGCGGCCGCGGGCACGGCGTCAGTGCTGGCCAGCCGCCCCTGACGTCACCTGGCGCGCCCGCTCGGCGCGGCGCGTGGGGATGCGTCACGGAGCGCGTCCGGGCGAGCCGGCGCGGCGCGTGCGTTTTGCGTCGCGGAGCGCGCCCGGGCTAGCCGGCGCGGGCTTCTGACGTCACGGCGCCACCATGGCTGCCTGCACGCAGCTGCCGCCCGAGATCCAGCTGGCCCAACGCCTGGCGGGCAACGAGCAGGTGACCCGGGACCGGGCGGTGCGGCGACTGCGGAAGTTCATCGTCGCCAAGACCGAGCAGAACGCAGGTGGGCGCCGGCCTTCCGCGCCCGGGGCCGCCACGTGGCCCGAGGCCGCGCCTCCCTCGCGCTGCCCGCTGACCCCTCGCGGCCAGGCCGGCTCCCGGGACCGCGGGGCGGGGTCGCCCCCGTCGGCTCGCCGGGGACCAGAGAGGTGGTCCAGCGGGTAGGGCCGCAGTCAGCCCGGGCACTGCGGGGTGCTGAGCTGGGGCAGAGGACGTGGCTCGGAGCTGAGCTGGCTCTCGCGTGCGCGTGGGGTCTGGGCTTGTGTCTTCGGCTCGGTGAAAGGAAAGAGCCTGGAACGGTGACCCGGAAAAGGTCACGGAGTAAGGCTTCACTCGGGCCGGGCCCACGCCTGCGACCAGCTCTTAGTTCTCAGTCTGCGGCAGAGCCCCCAGCTGGGTCCTAGATACTCTGCAGTGATGCCGTCGAGCAGGGCTGTGGGTCCGGGTACCCGGGGGTTCAGGAGGGCGGCCCTGTGAGCGGCTCCCTCCAGCCCTGTGATTTCCCTTCTCCGCCTTGCCCCTGACCTCGGCCGGCTCTGCCTCCCTTTGCAGGTGGCTTCACACACGACGAGCTGCTGAAGGTGTGGAAAGGGCTGTTTTACTGCATGTGGATGCAGGACAAGCCACTCCTGCAGGTCAGTGGGCAACCTGCCCGGGGAGCACGGGTTTCGGGGACCCCAGAGCCTCCCTGCTTAGGGCCTCTGCCCTGTCTGGGGCTACACCTGATTGTGCTCAGGCCTGTTCCTGGCTCCATGCTCGGGGTTCACTCCTGGTGGGCCCAGGGGACTGTGGGTGCCGGGGATGAGTCCAGCTCCCCTGCATGTGAGGCCAGCGCCTTCCCCTGAGCTGTCTCCCAGCCTTGCAGCATGCGTCCTGAGACTTGGCTCGTGTGTGTGTGTGCCCGGCCTGGGAGCGGGGCCTTTGTCGAGCACCAGAGTTTGCTCTGTTGCACCTTACATCTCAGTGATTCCACAACGGCCCTGCGGCCTGGGTGAGGCCGGACTTCTTCGCTTTGTCAGCCTCCGCAAGCTTAGGGCTGAGACGGTGGACGCCATGGGGTGCCATGAGACCAGGATTCTCCCCATCCCGGCCTGCCTTTGGTTGTTGGAAACCTAGATAGCTGCAGAAATACAAAAACACTCTGGTTCCTAGCCAAACCGTGGGGGTGGGGGCACGGCCGAGGTTTCCCCTTCTCGGCCTCCTAGTGGTTCCGAGTCTGTGTTGACTGTACCATCCTGGGCTCTCCGCCTCTTCGGTGTCCAGAACGGCCTGCTGCCTCCTGCTGGCCTCCAGGCTCCTCGCTCCTCCCCAAGCCCCCAGTCTGTTCTAGGTTCCTCTAGTGAGGGTCTGTTTGTCCCTGCAGGAGGACCTGGGGAAAACCATCTCGCAGCTCCTCCATGCCTTCCAGACCACAGAGGCACGTGAGTACCCTCGCTGGCCCGCCTGAGAGTCGGTTTTCGGTGGGACGGGCTCCGTGCCCGCCCGTAGCAGAAGGGCAGCCACTGGTGGTGCCAGGGAGGAAGTCCAGGCCTCATGCTTGTGGCCAAAGCTCTTAGGCCACTGAGCCATTTTTCAGCCTATCAGAAGCTGCTTGGGCGTCATTTGGCTGCGTGATGCCCTCGGGAGTCATGAGGTGCCACCTGTGGTTTTATATCCTGGGGGTCATATTTCTGGCTTGAGTCCACCCATTCACAAAGCCTGGTGCCCGTACCTGCCCTGCCCGCTCAGCATGGGGCGGCCCCTGGCCTTGCCTTACTCATGGCACAAGCCACCCGGCTGCGTGTCTGGAGCCGCAATGGGGTCCAGGATCAGTGGGCCCGAGCACTGTACTTGGCCTGAGTCTGGCCCCTCATTAAAGACCCGGGATCGGGGCCGGGCTTGACCGGTGCAGTCCAGGGTGCCCTTTGGGCCTCTGTTGCTTGGGGTGTCTGACGACTGAGTGTCATGGGGCCCTGGTGAGTGGAGGGATACCCTGGGTTCAGCTGCCCGTCCCTGCCCTCTCGGGTCTCTATGCCCTTTGCACCTGGTCTCGGGGAAGGGCTGCACCTTGGCTTTGCTCCCCGAGGTTCCTGCTGCCCCAGCACCCCCGAGCGGCCACCACAGAGGCCCTCCCCAGTGTTGACGCCCCTCTCCGCAGAGCACCTGTTCCTGAGGACCTTCTGGCAGACCATGATCCGCGAGTGGGTCGGGATCGACCGTTTGCGCCTGGACAAGTTCTACCTGGTGAGCACCCTAGGGCTGGTGACCCAGAAGTTTGGGGTCCCTGGGGGAGCAGGGGGTGAAGCCTTTGGGACTGGGGGCCGCGCTCATGGACTTGCTGATGCCCCGTCTCACCACAGCTCATGAGGATGGTCCTGCACGAGTCCCTGAAGGCGCTGCAGATGCAGGGCTGGGAGAAGAGGTGCGTGCACCCCCGTCTGTGTCCCCGGCCTGCGCGGGTGGCTGTGCTGGGCCCGGCGGCAGCTGCTCCCCGAGGAGGGACTTCCACACCCTGTAGGTGTCCCCGGGCGGGGACAGGGGCTGCAGCCAGCCTGCCCAGTAGTCCAGGACCCTGTGAGTGTCCCGCAGCCCAGCTTCTCGGCCTTACGGGGCAGTGGGGGTGGGACCGAGACCAGTCATCAGACACAGGAGCCAGGGGACCCTCCTCACTGTGGGGGAGAAGCAGGCAGCGAATTGATTGGTAATTGACAAGAAATGGATCTGGTTCCCCACCAAGAGGACAGTGGAAGGGGCAAGAGAGAAGCTGAGGATGGTGACCATGCCCCGCCAGACTGTCTGGGGGTCAGTGCCCTTTTGTCTGTGCCTGGAGGAGCTCAGGACACTATGGGAACTGGCTGTGTGCCAAAGCTGCGGCCTCGGATGGCCACTGGCTCTGGGCCACCCCCCCACGCCCAGGTCTGTGCTGTCCGCGTGTTGGCCGCCAGCCACAGAGCGCCTGTACCAGGGCTCGAGCGGGGCGTGAGGCGAGCGTGTGACGTGTGGGTGGACCCGATGCCCCCGAGTGCCCGTGGGCAGCACCGTGCCTGCCTTCCTCCAGGCCCAGGGAGCAGCTGCTAGAGCTTCTCACTGCCGAGATCCTGCACCCCGACAGCCAGGCCCCCAGCGGGGTCAAGAGCCACTTCCTCGACATCTTCCTGGAGGAGCTGACCAAAGTGGGCGCCGATGAGGTGGGCCCACGGACTGGGAGGGATGGAGGGCGGGAGGGCGGGAGGGTCCCTGCCCGGGGGTGCTGGGCAAGCCCTGAAACTGCTGTGTCTCCACAGCTGACGGCCGAGCAGAACCTCAGCTTCATCGAGCCCTTCTGCAGGATGGCGGCCCAGACTGGCGAGTGCGTGGGGGCTGCTGGGGCGGGTGCACTCATGCCCATGTCACCCGCACACCACGGGTGGCCCTGTGGCTCCCAGGGTCACACTCACCCTCCCCCCCTGCAGTCCTGTGGTCCTCCACCACGTTACCTGCGGCATCTTGGAGCCCATCATAGAGCAGGCCCCTCTGGCCATCGAGGCACTGATGGACGAACTGGACCCGCAGGAGGGTGTGGACAAGGGCTCAGAGCAGGAGTGGTCTACAGGTGAGGGTTCTGCGCCCTGCCCCCCCCCCCCCCCCCCACCGTGCCCCGGCAGCCCACTCTGTTCCTTGGGGCCTCCCACACCCTCCTGGGGGCTGAGTCCATCTCTGTCCCACTTGAACCCCTTTCTGGCCATGGGTCCCCAGCCTTCTCTGGGCTGTCTGTCCGGTGTCTGTCTGCTGTGTCTCAGTGTGTGGCCCCTTCCATCCAGATGGGGCAGAACCTGACTCAGAGGAGGAGGAGGATGAAGAGGAAGAGGACACAGAGGAGGACGATGGCGATGAGGACGACACTGAGGCCGTCCTGCAGGTGGGTGACAGAGAGGTGCCCAGACTCGGCCAGGAGGCCGCCACCTGGGCCCTCGCTCGGGTCCCACTCCAGGTCACCGGTCCCCGTGGGCGCTGCGCTGCGGGGGCCTGATTCTGAACTGAGCTAGCTGTGGCCCGTGTGTTCCTGCAGGGCGGCTGCAGGATGACCCCCAGAGTGGGTATTGCTGTCAAGTTTCTTACTTCCGCTGAGGGGGCAAGGGCCTGGCTGAGACCCGAGGTTTCGAGGAGACGGGCTGTGTTAGGGAGGGACGAGTCCAGGCAGGACTAGCCAATGGCCCTTCAGAGACTGACCCACCTCGTCCCCCCAGTTCGACTACGAGGCCGTCGCCAACAGACTCTTCGAGATGGCCAGCTCCCCAAGCACCCCCTCCCACAACAGGAAGCGGCTCTACAAGGTGGTCCGCAGGTGAGAGGGTGAGCCCCGTGGGTGCTGGGTGTTGGGTGCCACCGGCCCTCTCTGACTCTCTGCCCCTTCCAGGCTGCAGAACCTGGCGGAAGGTGAGTGTGAGCGGCCGACGAGTCCGGACCCGGGGCAGCGGGGTGGTGGTGCTGTGGACTGGAACAAGCGTGATTCCTCGGTGTGGCCGGGATACCGGCCTTGCCACTGGACGGTTCCAGTGCACCCTGGGCGGCCCCCACGTGCTCGTGACATGGGCCGCTTCCAGCTGCTCTGGGTTGTATGTCACGTCCTGCATCTGCAGTGATGTTGCCTGCTCATGGGGTCTGGGGGCCCACTGTGGGGCGCCGTCACCCTCCTGAGCAGCGTCCTGTCCTCAGGCCTCTTCCCAGAGGATGACGTTCCCGAGAAAGTGTATGAGAAGCTGCAGGCCGGCAGGCGGCCACGGAAGGCCAGGAGGAAACGGCCCAAGGCCCGGCCATCCCGGGACTCCGGTATGCCCCTGCCTGTGCCCGCTGCTGCCACCTTCCCCCTCCCGAGGTCACCCTCACCCCGCCCTGTGTCCCAGGGGCCTGGCAAGGAGGGGTCTATATTCCATAGGAAACTGACCCCACCTAACCACAGGCCAGGCCTGCTCACCCGCCACCTGCCCTGGGGGCCCTCCCCATCACCCCGCCCTGGGGGCCCCTCCTGTTCCTCTGGTCTGTTGCTGTTGGGGGCCCTGCAGGGCACTAGCTCACGTGCCTCACGGTTGCAGGGGACCCTGAGATGCAGGAGCCTCGCCCCGAGCAGCCTAGCGGCCCTGGCAGAAAGGGGGCTCATAAGAAGTGCCGGAGGCCTCGGCCGCTCAGGAAGAAAGCAAAGGCAGGGGGACAGGAGCCCCCGAGGAAGAAGAGTCGGCGGGGCCGGAAGTGACGTTGCCGGGCCAGCCCCAGCGGCCCCATTCCTGAACTCTGGGTGTGTGTGGAAGGCAGAGGACAGGGCTGAGTGGCCATGTCCTCCTGGTCACACCATCGCCTGCCCTGGACTGCACATGCTGACTGCGGGCGGGTAGCCAGGGTGGCGTGGAATAAAGCAGCGCCCTATGCAGCTGGTCTCTGCCGAGAGTAGCCCTGGCCTTGGAAGCATTTGCTTGCTCCCCTTTTCACCCACCACGTGGGCACCTGAGTGCCCTGTGCAGGGCGTGCTGGGGGGGCACTTGGAGCCTTTCCCGAGGCTGCCCGTTTCCCCACCGCACAGACTCGGATGTGTGTGTCCCCCCCCCCCCCCTTTCTCGGGCTGGACCCGTTTTGCCTGCCCTCCCCAGACCTCACACGAGGGTTCTGCACAGGCGGCAGGGGTGGGTGGGATGCCGCACCCCGAATGCCTTCCTGGGTCGGGATTGCCCACACAGGTGCAGTGCAGAGAGATCCTAGCAAACAGGTCCCCGGCCAGCCCACCCAGAGGCCCCACTTGCAGGCACCAGCCTGGATCTGGGGCAGCACTGGCACCTATAATCCTAATTCAGCGTTGTCTCCACTCGGTCCAGCTGTCCCTCGGTGGGAAAATGGATCAGGGGACTGCCGCCGAGATAGAGAATGAACGACTTACCTGAACAGACAGACCCCTGCCAGGTGTGCGTGTGAGCACAGACCTGCGTTCCACCAAGTGTGTGTTTGTGTGTGTGTGTGGAGGGGGGGGAGTTTGTGTTCCGGTTCTGGTTCTCTGCCTGGCCGTGGTTGATCAGGTTCTCTGACCATGATTGGTAAGGTTCTCTCTGCGTTTGACGTGATTGGTCAGGTTCTCTCTGCGCTTGACGTGATTGGTCAGGTTCTCTCTGTGTCTGACCGTGATTAGTTAGGTTCTCTCTGTGTCTGACCGTGATTGGTCAGGTTCTCTGTGTCTGACCGTGATTGGTCAGGTTCTCTCTGCGCTTTACGTGATTGGTCAAGTTCTCTCTGTGTCTGCCCGTGATTGGTTAGGTTCTCTCTGTGTCTGACCGTGCTTGTTCAGGTTCTCTCTCTGTCTGACCATGATTGATCAGGTTCTCTCTGTGTCTGACCGTGATTGGTCAGGTTCTCTCTGTGTCTGACCGTGATTGGTCAGGTTCTCTCTGTGTCTGACCGTGATTGGAGCATTTGCCGGGCCTACCCGCCAACCCTGCTGGACACACCCTCTGCTCCTGGCCACTGAGCTGTGAGCCCCTTCGCCCTTTCACTGTTGGGGCCACTCGGCCGACCCTGCGGGGACTGACACAGGCTCTATTGGGCCTTTGTCTGCTGACCCTGTCCGGACCCTGCACAGGCAGAGCTGTCACTGCCCCAGAGCCCTGAGCAGCCTGAGCGCCCTGGCGCCCGCCCCACCCCCAAAAAGATTATTTTATAACTTTTAGATTTAGAGGAAAAAATGAGCAGAAGAAAGTATTGCCACATTCCTTCCCCCAGCTGCCCCCCTTTCCCCCAGCTGCCCCCAACTTTGATACCTGCGGTGCCCAGCGGCCCCTGGGGCCTCAGGGGATGAGGTAGGGGCAACTAGTGTCACTGGCTTCAGGCCCGTTTCTTTCTTTTTGTTTTGGGTCCGCCTTGGGTATTTACCTTTCCTCTGGTAGTGCTCCGGTTGCTCCCAACAGCGTTTGGCGCTGTGCAGTCTGTCCTGCTGCAGACCCTGAGCTCCAGCCCGCTGAGCCAACTCCACAGGGAGAGGCCCGTCTCTCTGGGCTCTGAAATCTCTCAGTGCTGGGGATGGAACTGAGGCCCTCACGGTCAAGGCAGGCTTTCTTGACCGCGAGCAGCATCCCTGGTCTATTTCTTTTATTTAAAATTTTTCTTTTTGTGGCTGGAGCAACAGCGGGTACACGCGGCCAACCTGGATTCGATTCCCAGCATCCCACGGTCCCCTGAGCACCGCCAGGGTTAGTTCCTGAGTGCAGAGCCAGGAGTAACCCCTGTGCATCGCCAGGTGTGACCTTCCCCCCCCCCCAAAAAAAAAATTTCCTTTTTTGTGGGGCCACTCGGGTGGGGGCATGAGGTGCTCGGGGTGGGCTCCCATCTGGCGATACTGCTCTTCGGCTCCCCACCTGCTTTCGTTGTCACTGAGCTGATGCCCCTCATGTCGGACCCGCGCTCCTGAGGGGGACGAGGCTCAGAGTCTGGTCACATGCTGTTTCTTTTTGTCTTTGGAGAGAAAAAGTCTAATCTTGCCTTCACCCTGTCTTAATCTTATTTTGTTCTTGACTCCAGACCATTTATTTTTCAAATTGATTTTGTTCTGGGGGCGGTGCTCAGGGCTGACTTGTGGCTCTGTGCTCCGGAATCACTCCTGGTGACGGAATGGAGCCCAGGACAGTGGCCTTGTGCTGGGAGGGCACCCTCGCTGCTGTCCCGTCTCCCCGGCCCTCACAGCCCATGCTAACTTGCATATTTTACGTGTTTGCTGGTAGCGTGTTTGGGGCACAGACTTCCACCCTGGGACCTGCAGGCCTGTCTCCCTTTGAACCCTGGCAGCCCCGTAATCTACTTGTCCTGGGGCGCCTTCTGTCCCCCATCACGGCCAGATCTTACATGTCCAACCTCCTAGGGGTTTCCTGGCTCTGGGTCCTGCATTCGGGCCCTTTGTCACTGTCTGGGCGGGTGCTGGGTCCCGTAGGAGGCGGTGGCACAGGGCGGATCCCTGCATGGCACCTGGGGCCACTCTTCGCCAGGTCTCGACAGGGTCTCATGGGGCCGGGCTCGCCCATGCCTCCGTGAGGAAAACTGCCTCGTGTGTCGTCCGGCACAAACATGTGACTCATGCCATGGGGCCCGGTGTCAGCCTGCCTCCCGGGACCTAGCGGGCAAGGGAGGGAGGGCAAGAGGCCGTGGACGCAGCTGCCTTCCTGGAACCCTCGAGACGGGGCCCAGGTGCAGCCCAGAGTGTGACCCTGGTGATTCCTGTGGGAGCAGCGCCTGCTCAGAGCCCTAGGAAGGAGGCCCGGGGCCGCAGGGGGCTACCCATTTGGCTTCACGGCCACCACCCAGAGCCTGGCGCATGCACTGGCCTGCACAGCAAGCACACGTGCACACTTACATGCAAAGCGTGTGTACATGGAAAGTACCTGTACCAAACATACATAGAAGCAATTATTGCTCTAATATTAAATATTAAATTATTACAAAATATTTAAATCAATATCGGAGAAACATTTCTATGTGAAAATGTTTTGCCCGCCTGGGGCCGTGGAGCCCAGGGAGGCTTCGGTCCACTCTGTTGCTGGCTTTCCTCTGTGCCTCTGTGTCGGTGTCATTTTAGTGGCTTCCGCATCTCTCTCCCCCTCAGCCTGCCATGCCCCGACTGGGAGGTCAGTGTTGAGCTAGGGAGCCAGTTCACAAGGCCCAGAGACCTCAGGGTCTACGGTTGAGGCCACCAAGGCCACTGGGGTGGTGGGAGTGGCGGGGAGTCTGCACCCCGACTCCGAGAAGCCCCCCAAGCTCTCAGCCTGGGACCTGACGTGACTCAGTCTGGTGTCAGAAGCAAGTGACTGTGAAGTGGTGGCTGTGGTGCAACTCCCAGGACAGCGGGCGGGGACCCAAGGCGATGGCTCTTGGTGCTGGCCCCAGGCCTGCGGTGACTGTCTCAGACTCGGCACTGTCCATGGCGTGTGGCCAGGTCAGGCTCCCCCAGCAGCCGCTCCCTGCATGGATGCTTGGGCCAGGCCACTGCATGCCGCCTTAGGCCACACAGGGCTGTGTGACCCCACCATGGCCACGTGGAACTTATAAAGGGTGTGAGGGAGGAGGTTTGGAGGGGTGCTGCCTGGCAGGGGCTGGCACAGTGCCACTGAGACGCTGGTATTAACAGTATTCTAAACCCGGGTCCTGAAACAAAAAGAAGGGGGGTGTGGGCAGAGAGATAGCACAGCAGAGAGGGCATTCGCCTTGCATGCAGCCAAACCGGGTTCGATCCCTTGCATCCCGTATGGCCCACCCGAGCACCGCCAGGACTAACTCTTGAGTGCAGAGCCAGGAGTAATCCCTGAGCATTGCTGGGTGTGACCCAAAAAGCAAAAAAAAAAAAAAAAAAGAAAGAAAGTTAAGGGGTCAGAGAAATGGTTCAGTGGTGAAGGCACTTGCCGTGAACACAGCCAACCCAGTCAGATCCCTGAGCATGCTGGGTGTGTGCGTGTGTGAGTGTACACGTGAGTGTGTGTATGTATGCATGTATGAGAGCATGCACTTGTGAGCATGTGTGAGTGCATGTGTGTGCAGTGAGCTTGTGTGAGTGTACCTGTGTGTATGGGTGTGTTTGTGTGTGTGTGTATTTGCTTGTCCTGGGGTACCTGGGCCCCAGCCAAGCCCTCCCTGCTCAGCACATGCTCAGGAGCCGGGGGGATCTGTGCAGCCCCTGCCCAGCTCTCAGGGCACAGCCCAGCGCTTCCGGAGCTGGAGCCTGTGTTACAGGGGGATCCTGATGCCTGAGAGGACTGTCCCAGGAGCCGGGCTGCACAGGGGGATGAGAGAGGGTCCAAGTGGTGCCCAGATTGGGTGTCTGGAGGAAGCAGATCCCTGGGCTCACCCCGTTCCTGCTCGGGTCCTGAGATATCTCTGCACCCCTCCTTTTCCTAATCAGCCAAAACAATGTAAAACGATTTTAAGAATGTTCTGGAGAGGGGCCAGAGCAATAGCACAGCAGGTAGGGCGTTTGCTCTGCATGCGACCAACCTGGGTTTGATTCCCAGCATCCCATATGGTCCCCTGAGTACCACCAGGGGTAATTCCTGAGTGCAGAGCCAGGAGGAACCCCTGTGCATTGCTGGGTATGACCCAAAAAAGCAAAAAAAGTTCTGGAGATCCTGGAAGCCGGGAGTTTGTTTCCTTGCACACAGCCAGCCCAGGTTGACCCCCAGACGGCCCCCAAGCCCCTCCGGGCTGACCCCTGAGTGCAGAAGCAGGAGTAAGCCCAGAGCACTGCTGGGTGAGGCCCAAAACAACAGCTGCTGAGAGAGCTGGGCGGGAGCTAGGGTCAGCCTATGAGAGAAGAGAGGCTCAGAGCTGGCCTCATCCCTGTGGTACCCACCCCCCACCCACCAGCCACTGAGCTGCAGGGAAGGGCACCCGATAT